AATATGGAAGACAACTTCGATTTGACGTCCAAATGACACTAAAATTGCAAAATTAAAGAATTGTTAATATGGAAGACAACTTCGATTTGACGTCCAAATGACACTAAAATTGCAAAATTAAAGAATTGTTAATATGGAAGACAACTTCGATTTGACGTCCAAATGACACTAAAATTGCAAAATTAAAGAATTGTTAATATGGAAGACAACTTCGATTTGACGTCCAAATGACACTAAAATTGCAAAATTAAAGAATTGTTAATATGGAAGACAACTTCGATTTGACGTCCAAATGACACTAAAATTGCAAAATTAAAGAATTGTTAATATGGGAAGACAACTTCGATTTGACGTCCAAATGACACTAAAATTGCAAAATTAAAGAATTGTTAATATGGAAGACAACTTCGATTTGACGTCCAAATGACACTAAAATTGCAAAATTAAAGAATTGTTAATATGGGAGACAACTTCGATTTGACGTCCAAATGACACTAAAATTGCAAAATTAAAGAATTGTTAATATGGAAGACAACTTCGATTTGACGTCCAAATGACACTAAAATTGCAAAATTAAAGAATTGTTAATATGGAAGACAACTTCGATTTGACGTCCAAATGACACTAAAATTGCAAAATTAAAGAATTGTTAATATGGAAGACAACTTCGATTTGACGTCCAAATGACACTAAAATTGCAAAATTAAAGAATTGTTAATATGGGAGACAACTTCGATTTGACGTCCAAATGACACTAAAATTGCAAAATTAAAGAATTGTTAATATGGAAGACAACTTCGATTTGACGTCCAAATGACACTAAAATTGCAAAATTAAAGAATTGTTAATATGGAAGACAACTTCGATTTGACGTCCAAATGACACTAAAATTGCAAAATTAAAGAATTGTTAATATGGAAGACAACTTCGATTTGACGTCCAAATGACACTAAAATTGCAAAATTAAAGAATTGTTAATATGGGAAGACAACTTCGATTTGACGTCCAAATGACACTAAAATTGCAAAATTAAAGAATTGTTAATATGGAAGACAACTTCGATTTGACGTCCAAATGACACTAAAATTGCAAAATTAAAGAATTGTTAATATGGAAGACAACTTCGATTTGACGTCCAAATGACACTAAAATTGCAAAATTAAAGAATTGTTAATATGGAAGACAACTTCGATTTGACGTCCAAATGACACTAAAATTGCAAAATTATTAAAGAATTGTTAATATGGAAGACAACTTCGATTTGACGTCCAAATGACACTAAAATTGCAAAATTAAAGAATTGTTAATATGGGAGACAACTTCGATTTGACGTCCAAATGACACTAAAATTGCAAAATTAAAGAATTGTTAATATGGAAGACAACTTCGATTTGACGTCCAAATGACACTAAAATTGCAAAATTAAAGAATTGTTAATATGGGAGACAACTTCGATTTGACGTCCAAATGACACTAAAATTGCAAAATTAAAGAATTGTTAATATGGAAGACAACTTCGATTTGACGTCCAAATGACACTAAAATTGCAAAATTAAAGAATTGTTAATATGGGAAGACAACTTCGATTTGACGTCCAAATGACACTAAAATTGCAAAATTAAAGAATTGTTAATATGGAAGACAACTTCGATTTGACGTCCAAATGACACTAAAATTGCAAAATTAAAGAATTGTTAATATGGAAGACAACTTCGATTTGACGTCCAAATGACACTAAAATTGCAAAATTAAAGAATTGTTAATATGGAAGACAACTTCGATTTGACGTCCAAATGACACTAAAATTGCAAAATTAAAGAATTGTTAATATGGAAGACAACTTCGATTTGACGTCCAAATGACACTAAAATTGCAAAATTAAAGAATTGTTAATATGGAAGACAACTTCGATTTGACGTCCAAATGACACTAAAATTGCAAAATTAAAGAATTGTTAATATGGAAGACAACTTCGATTTGACGTCCAAATGACACTAAAATTGCAAAATTAAAGAATTGTTAATATGGGAGACAACTTCGATTTGACGTCCAAATGACACTAAAATTGCAAAATTAAAGAATTGTTAATATGGAAGACAACTTCGATTTGACGTCCAAATGACACTAAAATTGCAAAATTAAAGAATTGTTAATATGGGAGACAACTTCGATTTGACGTCCAAATGACACTAAAATTGCAAAATTAAAGAATTGTTAATATGGAAGACAACTTCGATTTGACGTCCAAATGACACTAAAATTGCAAAATTAAAGAATTGTTAATATGGAAGACAACTTCGATTTGACGTCCAAATGACACTAAAATTGCAAAATTAAAGAATTGTTAATATGGAAGACAACTTCGATTTGACGTCCAAATGACACTAAAATTGCAAAATTAAAGAATTGTTAATATGGAAGACAACTTCGATTTGACGTCCAAATGACACTAAAATTGCAAAATTAAAGAATTGTTAATATGGAAGACAACTTCGATTTGACGTCCAAATGACACTAAAAAACAAAAATAAAATTGCAAAATTAAAGAATTGTTAATATGGGAAGACAACTTCGATTTGACGTCCAAATGACACTAAAATTGCAAAATTAAAGAATTGTTAATATGGGAGACAACTTCGATTTGACGTCCAAATGACACTAAAATTGCAAAATTAAAGAATTGTTAATATGGAAGACAACTTCGATTTGACGTCCAAATGACACTAAAATTGCAAAATTAAAAGAATTGTTAATATGGAAGACAACTTCGATTTGACGTCCAAATGACAAAAATTGCAAAATTAAAGAATTGTTAATATGGGAGACAACTTCGATTTGACGTCCAAATGACACTAAAATTGCAAAATTAAAGAATTTTCTTGTTGTGTCCAAGCAACAAATCTTTCTCTAATATGATGCCACTTCAGACAGAAATGCAAACTTTACACCTTGATTCTACAGAATTCACTAAACTATTGATGAAGTCTTGAGGAATTGCATGCCACTCTGAAACTACACTTTTCGAGGTATTCGGCACGCTGCAGCTCAGCAGCAAATAGTATTCCATACACACTCTTTCAAGTTCAATTACAGTGATTAAGCTGACCAATCTATTAGAATATTTTTATTTTCAATGTACTTCAAACAGCAGAGATGTTCAATGCAGACAAGTATTATCATCGAGGAGTATTACTAAGTAAGGATAAGTGCAACTAAATGAAGCCTTTGTGGAGCAATAGAACAGTTCGTTCAAAATTCTGTGGCAGCCTGATGTCTAAAACAACTCTCTTGTAATTGCTTAACACTTTCTTCAAGCTGATAATGCAAGAAATGGTATTCAAATACAGCTGTTGCTCTTGATAAGGGTGTTTGCCGATTCATTGCTTAAAAATTAATTTCAAATTTTTTACATGAAATGTTTAGAAATATGCTGATCTTGGGAAATTTCCATTTATGTTTGCCCCCCCCCTTATGAAATCTACCAATTATCCACCACTTTTGCCATTCACTCAAAAGACGCCTTTGAGGTTGATGAATCCTGATTCCCTCAGAAACTACACTAACTTTAAACACACTACACATTCAAACTCCAATATACATTTAATATGCATACTTTATCACTAATATAAGTGCAGAAGTCCGATTCCAAACTCAATCACAGATAATTAACATAAATAATTATGCTACTGGACATCAAAAACCTTAACTATTGAGCAATTTTTTCCCCTTCATTTTGATGAACAGTGTACAGATGAGTAACAATGAACTTGCTAGATAAGTGGGTCGTAGTGTATTATAAAACACATTTTGCAGAACAAAAGTAGCAGTTATTATTATTTACAGCAAAATCATCAAGTCACTTCACATCAAGCATTCAATAATAATTGCTAAAATATATTCCTAATACTTGCTTTTCAAATAGATATTGTTTTTGAAGTAAGACTCAGGTGTAACAAAAGATAACAAAACAGTCAAATTGATCAAAGACATTAAAAATCTTTCATTAATGGAGGTTAGGTTAAATGATTAAGGGAAAACAACTCGACGGTTATCTGTATATGGAGAAGAACCTCCATATTACATTCATCTCCATCTGTTATCTGTATATGGACTTTCTCCCAGAAATGGCTAAAGTCTATATTACACATGGGAAAACCCCAATAGTTCATACACAGCCAGCCTATTTGCTGGGATTTGAATGCTGGGTTGAACTACCAGTGTTTAATGCCTTTTCTGCTCAGCCGCCAATGATAAAATTTAGCATCCATTAAAAATGACATTGATATCAGATGTAAGATTGATTAAAAATATATATCTTAATAAGCATTACTGGTTTAAAAATGCACATAATTATTAAATACGAAGCACATGGAAATGTATCACACTAATATACAGAATTATAAACATCTCTTAAAAATGTACTAATTGTTAACATGTTCATGATACTTTTTTCAAAACATTATTAACATTATGCTTCACTTTGTTACACTGATAAGATCTTAACATACAACTTCAAAATTTCCCATTTCATATAAGTTTAGTTTTATACAACCTATAAAATCAATATTTTTATCTCGAGTGAATGCATTTAAGTCACATAAATCTGTTTTCCTTCAAGGCCAGTCAAGCATGTTACAAACCTTCTCTACAAAAAAGTATCTTTAGCAGGATAACAGAACAACTTATTAACTGTAACTCTCTTGTAACACAAGGGGCTAATTACAATCACACATAATCTGCAAGCCTACTTTATTTGATTTATTTCTTAAACTAAAATAGTGGGTCTTCAATAACTGCTCCAAAGATGTTTAAGCACATATTTTTTTTTTAATACTGTGTATACTGGTTACAAATCTTAAGAGATTGCTCTATTATGTAGCAGATCCAAAATTCTATTTGACTTCATTTAAGTTCAATGAATATTAAATTATGTAGATATGATCACTTTGCAATCCTTTATTACAGGTAGGATGTCTCATGTCAAAAAAACAGACAAATAATACCACTGCAAAAATATAATTTTTATTTTATCAATCAACATTAAAAAAGATAATGTTAACAACAGCAAAATTTCTTCCTATTTTTCTTTTGGCAAAATGAGGATCAAAATATAGCACCATTAGAAGGTAACGACACTTCTCAACCTGAAATTACAGAATTATTAGTTAAAAAATGATGCAGAAATATCAAATCAAAACAAAAGGAAAATGTATTACTATGCCAATAAGTTACATTTATACTGTATTTATATAATTTTTAAATACAAAAAGTTATAATAAGAATGATTTATAACAATGTGATAAGCTAGTATTAGGGATAATTATTAAGGATATAAATACTTATTAAGGTTCATGCAATGAAAATCACTGAAAATACTTACGATTTTCCAGCGTGCATTAAATGAAAAGCTTCATTAATAGCATCAAGACTGAAGTTATGGGTAACGAATTCATCAACCATTAATTTTCCATTCATATATTGATCAACCAACTTAGGAACACTTTCTCTGCTCTTCCAGCCTAAAGCAAGAGAAAATTACATAAATTTCTATTCAGATTAATATTCATAATGAGACCTTTAAAACTTAGAAAAAGAACTATACAATATTCATATAACATCACACAAATTTTTGAGGGGGGGGGAGGGCAGAATTATACTTATTATATGAATGCATTACTCATTCAAACATAATAAAAGAAGTTTTATACATGTTTTTATTCCCGCAATGAAAAGTTAGGTTAAAATTCTATAGGTTAGGAAACAACGAAGCGTTTTACCTCCACACATAGATACTTATTACAATATGTAAGAATGAATTAAATACAGCCTTAAAACAAATATTACCAGTATGATTTTCAATCCTCAAAATTTGATCAAGAAAATTAATGGCAAAAAAAAAAAAAAAAAAAAAAAGAACAAAAGAAAGAAGCAGGATATACAGGATTATCAGGAAAGATATTTCCATAATTACAAACAGAAAATTATAAATAATATGTCACTGTAAAGAAAAAAAAAATATTTTTTCTTAAATATTCAATATGACTTCCTTTACCACCCGTAAAATATCGATGCGATATGCTATTTATTGCCAAACATACTGTAATGTTTCCCTATTAGCTGTTTGTAAAGCACCACAAATGCATTGTTTAAGTTTGGGCAAACTTGTAGGCAAAGGTGGTAATATGGACACAAGATCTTTGACAAATTCGCAAAGGAAAAGGTCACATGGGATTATGTCAGGTGATCTATGAGGGAGCTGTATAGTCAGCTGCACTGCACCGATTGCCAACTACACAGCTACCATCATCATTGGCTGCACTGCAACCAGTCCAATGGCGTGAGTGAGCAGTGTATGATACTTTCTCCTAAATTCATGCTGAAAAGTGATCCCTGACTACCAACTTGCAAAGCACAGCACACAAAAAGCCTTCTCCTGTATTTTCACTTCTTTCAAAAAACAGCTAAATGACAACAGTGGCAACAACTATTGCAAAAAGACAATGTTATAAACTAAAAATTTAACAGTTTTCCTTTCTGATGAAATATTACTTATGTTAATAATTATGGAAAATATTAAATTGGATGATTTTTTTCCTGATAACCATGTATATGTATGCATATATGTATATATACTTGCATACAATATTAAGAGAATTTTCAAATTATGTCCATTTATACAAAAGATACAAAACATGCCAATAATCAGTGGTGTATTTAATTATGGCAAAGCACACTAGGGCTATCTGCTAAGGGGGGGCCTTTCGTGGAGGATTTTAAGGAAACTGGCTTGTATACAGTTACACACGGGGAAAACCACGAAAAAACCAGAGCCAGCCCGTTCGCGGGATCGAACCTCAGACCGAACTAAGTGTTCAGCGACTTTTACGCTCGGCCGCTGGTGGGGCCAATAATCAGAGTCAAATATGTAGCATACAAGTACACTGCGAAAAAAAGGGGGACAGTTCTATATCTCTATATCTACTGGGCCGATTGATAAAATTTAACTTGCGTTTTTCATGTCTCGAAAGCATGTCTTAGCACATGTATTATATTTATATATAGCATTGTTCTACTGCAGGTATTTTGACACAAAATTGCACTTTTTCTGAAATGATGTGCCAATTTTTTTTGCATATTTTGATTCTATGACTTAAATTACGCCAACTGCCATGTTTTGTAAAAATCGCCCGAGTAGTTTTTGAAAAATTAGCTCTCAAAATTTTAGCTCTTCAATGTTGATTGAATTTGATATACATTTATTAGTATTTCTTTTTTATTAAACCTACTTGAATCTTCTTTTCATATTTTGAAATTTAGGTTCAATCCCTATAAAATTCACCCATTTTTTACGATTTATTTTCAAAATTTGTATTTTAAAATAATTTTTATAAATTTTTCAAAAAAATTTTTTAATTATGACCTACGAAATTTTTGCCATTACCTTAAAGCAGATGTATTTCTAAGTATACCTGCAAAAAACTAGTTTTTTATTCAAAATTTCCTAAGATATACGTAAATTTACATTTTGACATGTTTTGAAATTTGCCGCATTTATTAGAAGTGATAATAACGAAAATATGGTGTACACACATTGTTAAAATGATTTGAAAGTATGAGTGATGACTTTATTCACCGCTCGTGCACAAAGGATGATAGGTTGCTATTAATTAAGAAGTTCGCCAAGTAAATTATTCTTGGCACAAACTAAAAAAAATTTACCACGATAAATTAAAAAATTTTTCCATAAATTTCCAACTAAGAATTACAAAATTTAATATCTAGGCATAATTTGAATCGCAGAATCGAAATATGGGAAAAAATTGGTATGTTATTTCAGAAAATGTCCGATTTTGCGTCAAAATACCCATGTTAAAATAATGTTATATATAAATCTAATATTTATCCTAAGTCAGTGGTGCTGTTATGGTGAAGTGTATGAGGGATTTTTGGCAATTTGTATGTTTGTACTCATTTACGACATTTCCCATGTTTCCGACAAGAGTTGGATAAATTTTATAAGGTGTCAAGTAAAATGCAGTTATTGTCAACATATTGGATATATGCCAATCACAAGTGCAGGTGACTACAAAGCTTAATGCTACTGGATCCACATGCAGAAGATCTAATAGATAAGATAGACGGCAATCTACAATGATGCGTGAGGATTGTTATTTGGCGTTTTCAGTGTGGTGACACAAGATTGATACAGCTTTGAGGCTCTCAAATGAGCTGTAGGCTGCTACTGGAAGATAAGTTTTAAGGCTACAGTTGCACAAAGGTTTCATGAGATAAAGAGCTCATAAGCAGCTCGTACGAGAAGCTATTAAAAATTTTACTGAAGCTACTCAAACGTTTTTCACTCAAAAACTGAATGAAACAAGAATTTGTGGTTTCAGTTTTGGTAAGATTTATATTATTTTATTTGGATTTGCTTAATCTGAAAATTAGTCTACGATAAATGAAAATTTTGAAAATAGATGTTCTTAAATTAAATACACACAGCTTGACCACCACAGCTGTGATCATGAGCAAAACATGCATATGCCATTTTAGAGCAATTTATACACTATGGTGGATAGATATGAATCATGTAATAGGGATTTTTTTCTATTCTTATTTTTTCTCCGTTTACTTTCAAAGCGTTTAGGGAGCACAGACTTAAGGAGGCAGATAATTACTTTTAAGTTATCTCAGCTCATATGCTAATCCTCATTTGCAATTAAATGATTATGTAATTATGTTGTGCATTTACTTATTTGTTTAATTATATACTAATAAAAACCTGAGAGTTTTCAAAACTTAAATTTCTACATATATATAACTTTATGACTATCTATCACAAAAAACTATTATTGTATAACAAATTTTATATTATATTTTATTGTATAATTTCCCTTATTATATTATCATTACAATGAATTCTAATACTATAATTATTATTACCTTTTTTTTTTTACCTAGAGCTTAAATGTATGCACATTATTATACAAGGAAGAAAACAAATTGCTTAATAATTAGCAATAATTAGCAATTATGTAATAATAAATTACTACAGTTATTAAACAGTTATACTATGAAAAATTTTGTATAAATTCCATAGACTGAAAAAAAAATTCTAACATTCTTGGTTTCTAGGTTGCAAATCAGTGTGAATCATAGCATTTATTTCTGAAAAAATGAACCTTGAAAAAATGAAGTTATGAAAGACAACTGACAATAGGATCAACTGATGACACAGGGACTTTCCCATCCTTGGTGGTAACTTCTCTCTTTCCATTCAGAGAGCTCAGTGCGAGCTTCACTCTTCTGATGTGCTTTGCATTTATGCTGTGTTTAATGTTCTTAGTAGTATACTGAGAAGAGCTATATGAAAACTTTTGTGCAAAGTTCCAGAACTGTAAGTATTTCTTTTGTGAAAATACATTTTATCATGCTATCATTAGTTCCACATGCATTCAATCCATTATAAACACGCAACATTACTCTGCTACATATTAGAACTAGCAATAATATGCATGAAAGCATAACGATTTATGCTAAATGCTCTACAACTCTACACTTCTCTCTCAATGTGATACAGTTGTAGGGTTTTCTTTATTTTGCATAACAAATTTATTTTAAGTTTGATTTCCTGTTCTAAACTTCTCAACTTCCCCTCACATTCTCTCGCCAGGATGCAAATTTAAAGTTAAGTGAAATGCTATTTAAACGTTTGATTACCTCAGTTATTCAGAGAATATTTCGCTAGCCAAGCGCACGTTTCGTTGTTATTTCCGGTCCGCTAGTAGCTCTTGTCTTATCAGATTAGTATCAAGTCGGTTATATTTTCTTTGAGTCCACCTCTTAGGTGTAAACTTAAGTGTACTCTTGCACTATTTATTTCAGGTTTGACTTATATTATATTCTACATTTTAGTTCCTACCGCAAGTGGATGGTGTTTGTAACGCACGAAGTCCTTGCCCTTCTCTTAAATTAGTTTGACTAAATAAAGGGTTATTTTTCACCCTTCTTCTGTGCTGGTAATTTATTCACGCCTGTGCGAGAATTCACCATGTACATTGTAGGATCTAATTTAGTTTATGTGGGATAATAGAGATAGGTCTTACACAGTTGTGTTTACAGATAATAATGTTCTAGGTTTTTTTTTTTTTTTTTTTTTTTCCCCATACAGCGGTTACTGTTTTTTTTTTTTTTGGCACAGGAAAAGTAAAGAACATAGTTAATATTCTTTATTTTTCTTTTTATCCCACTATTTATAATTATGAACTGAATCGTCAAAAGAGTTTGTTAAATGTTATGAAGCCATCCGCATAGGAATAACTTTTTTTTATGCAGCAATATGCATTTAGTTTAATATTATTTTGCATTCAAATGTATGAAAATTACATTTTTTTATTATATATGCTTTTTATAAAACAAATGTTTTTTCAACCTTAGGTTCAAGGGGTCTTATTTAACTAAAATATTACCAAGGGCAAACAAAGTTAGATCCCCAACTTATGTGAATCTGACTTTTCATTGGTACCATCTATAATGTGACTGCATTTTTCATTGGTTCCATCTATAATGTAATAACAGTGTATAACTGTATATTGATTTTAGAAAACAGTACAAAAATAAAAACAGTGACCTCTTTGAAACAAAGAACTTAAATATGAATAAGCTAAAAACTACAGTAAGTCAATCTAGTCAATCTAGTAGTTTATTTCCTATTAAAATAGTTTAATTTTTTATATTTACAAAAGCATCTTGGGCTTCCTTCTAGACTCACTGCAGTTTATAAATCTCATGACTGATGATAGATTAACACATAGATGATAGATGCACATAGGAAGAATGAAAACAGGATTTAAGAGATGCTACTCAGAAGAAATTCCAGAGACAAACTTATAGAACTAAAAGGATGCTAAAATTAGAAGAGTAAATCAAAAATATAGTTTTTTTCATTTACTTTGCTTAAAAATACAATTTCTACAGAAAAAATATATGATTTATTATAAATAAATAATTAAATAGTAGGTTTCATGTAGAAAATTAATTCAGCTTGTTTCAATAAATGATAAATGATTTTCTGTTGGGGGGGGACTAAGATGCAGAACTAAAAAAAAAAAAAAAAGATTCACTTTGAAAATTGTGTAAGAAAAATCATATCAATATATTCATAATCAATATTTTGTTTTGCTTTTGATTTTTTGATTATTCATGCAAAATATATAATTTTTCTATTAAGATTTAATAAAAGTATGCAGAAAATCAGCATTATGATGATTCATTAAAGAGTGCAGTTTTTATGGAGCAATACTAATATATTTAATAAAAAAAAAGAAAATGGAAATTTTACAAAAATAAAGTCAATGAAAATTTTGCATGACTTCTTTGGGGGTGGGGAGAATTTTCAGTGATTACTTCTTAAACTTACTGCACTAATATGCAATATTCTGGGAGGGGGGAGAAAAGGAAAAAAAATTAAAAACTAACATGATTGTAGTTTCAATATTCTCTTTCATGAGTCTTTGTTTTTATCCTTAACTATGATGCTATTTATATTAAAATATCCCCCTCAACATTCATGGTATTAACAAAAATATGATAGAGTTTGTACACATTTTTGCGCACTGAAATTAAGTACTTTTCAGGACCATTAATGAAGAAAATTATGGACTTTACAGCAAAAAGAATAGAGTAAACTAAAGCAATTATCTATATCCAACTTCACTTTTGATTCTAAGAATAAAATAAATCTGTAAGTATGATACATTATAAACAATTATTATAACTATACAATAAATTTGAGAATAAAATCAACTTTGTAAAATTTATCAGGTAATTTAGGATTAAATTACAAAATTCCTGAAAAATTTACATTTATATTGTTTATATTTCACACTTATAATAGTTCCACATATTTTAAAGATAAGTGACATTTAAGTTTTTATCAACGATTAGTTTTACTTTGATTCTTTCTTTTAAGCCTCGTTTCGTAATGTACTCGCTCAATCCAGAGATTTATGTAAATTTTATGTCAAGCGGCACAGATTTTAATGAGGAGTAAAATCTTAACCAGCATGATTTGTAACAGAAGCTTGACTGTTGCCACCATAGCTGTTCCTAACAGAGAGAGAGATGTTGATCAGAAGACATATGAACAGCTGACATTTGCAAGATTGGTATGTGTCGAAATTACTGAAAGTTAGTTATGCTTTGTCTGTTTGATCCAGTTAGTGTTGCAGCTTCGTGTAGAGCTGTGTCCCAGAGGAAACAAAAGATACATACTGATAGACTGAACATGGTTCAAGCTGAAAATCTTGCAACTTTGTATCAGTTGATTTAGGCTCTCTTACCAATGTAAAATACAATGCACATTGGTCGTTTGAATAATATGATATTTCGAGCCCTCAATATATCGAAGTTTTAAGCAAAATAAACTATCAGAACACATAGTAATGATAATATTCTTTGAGTACATACCAAAACTCATCACATACAGTTTTAAAATACTGAATCAAATTAAAGTATTGTTTCCATTTCTCCATGTTCATTTCTAGATGAAAATGATGATACCCCCAATATCTTGTGAAGAAGAACACGGAAGGTGTAAAGTTTCTTTTAAGATGAGACTCATCATTCAATAAATAAATCCAGTCTGATATTAATTGTATAATAATAATCAAATGTATGATGATAATCAAATCTTATAATGATTTATCAAAACCCCATTCACTTCATGGAAATCTTGATCTAACATAGCAACATGGATATTGTTGCCAGAATTGATAGGTTCATACAAATTAAGTGTCAATTTAAGATACACACTATTCCTACTGCTATTTTATACACATTACACTATTTTCAGAGCCTTAACTTAATTCCTCAGCCTTAAAATTTTCTCAGAGTTGTCATGCTAATTTGAGATTGCAAAATTCCCGTGAAATATTTCCAAATTTTCATGCTTTGTGTCCTGAATTTTACCTTTTTTCATGCAGTAAATTTACTATGACATCAATGTTAATAGTTTAAAATTTCCTTGAACATTTTACAAACCAGCTGATTAAACAACTGGTAATGAAGAACATATATGAATATTTTTCCTTTTATTTTTTATATTCGTCTTTTTACAATATAAACATGGTTACAATAAAGCTCAGAAAACTTTACAACATGGAAGAAAGAATCAAAAAGCATTTGTGAGGGAATGGAGTGATTCAAACACAGCAACTGTTTTTAGACAGGAAGAATTTTGTCAGTCTAACATTATATTCAGCATTAAGTTAAACAGAGTTCAAATACCAAATAGCTGTTAAAATTAGAACAGTAGTTGTATAATTTACTTTATTTACCTCCAAAAGCTGATCCTTTCCATACACGACCAGTAACTAATTGAAAAGGTCTTGTGGAAATTTCTTGGCCAGCTCCAGCTACTCCAATTATTACACTCTGACCCCAACCTTTGTGGCAAGATTCTAATGCTGCTCTCTGAGAAGCATTAAGATAGTATCAATATCCAAATATATATATATATAGAGAGAGAGAGAGAGAGGAGATTATTAGACAAAATTTTTCATATATTATCTCCAAGGAACTCGAATATAGAAATTCAATCAAAGCCATGAATTATTATAGTTTTTGAAATCAGTAATAATCTAGTCCTCTAATGCAGTAAAAACAGTTTAAAATCTGTAAAGAAAAATTCTGAAAAACAAATACCAAATTCAAAAGTAAAAATTCTAAGTACCGAAAAAGTAGTTAATGTCATTGATCACAGATTAATTTAGTTATCAAGGGGAACAAACCAATCTATATATATATATATACATAACTGCATTTAATTTTCATGAGATAATAATTTTAAAAAATTACATATTATGACATATATTTTAAACGGATGCATAAAAAGTGCTGAATACAAAGATATGCAGAAATTTAGTTGTTATATTATATATTACTTACAGATTAAGAAAAATTTCAAATTATCAATGCAGTAAGCCCTCAATACCGTATACATATATTTACCGCCGCATATCGTACCCCATATTTTACGACATAAACCATTCATATACATTGTTGCATTCAAAGATGCAGAACTGCTGCTTTCATATTGTGTCGAATGGCACTCTAAATATGTTTGATAACATTGTAATTTGGCGACTTAGATGCTATGGTAAAAATCCAAACTCAGAAAAGTGTTCCTCTAACCCAGCAACTGGGCTTGGCAACGGCAAAGCAATTATAAAGTACCTGCTGTTCAAATATATAAATTCTAAATTTTAGATATTTGGACAACAAACAGCTGTAATTGTAGTGAATAACATTTGAAAAAAATTCTTTTCAGAATTATGCAAGTCGCACAGTTAAACTTTTGATAAATCTTAGTGACATTTAAATAACACTACATGATTAGACAAATCAATATTTGGCCGCTATGAACATCTGATTTTGGCATACAATGAGCTATTTTCTATCTTCATTACCCTGATACACTCTAACCAGCCAATGCATGCTATGATTCACATCCATTACTCTGTTCATATGTAAACTTGCTATTTTATGAATTTGTATTTTGAGTTACGAGCAGAGTATGCATTCTTCTCTTCAACTTAAAACATAATGAAAACATTACTTTTACTTAGAATGGTTGACAGTAAGAAACTTATTTCAGTTCACTATTGTGTGTCAGTAGGTCCCCATATTTACATTTAAGAAAATGTTATACTCATTATAAAATATAAGGCACAAAAGGTTTGACTTGTGTATGAGAAAAATTGGAGATGCACTTAATTTAATAACTTAGTTTCAAAATTTTGATTTCTGACATAATTTTCAGTTTGCATTGGGGGAGGGGTCGGTAAATAAACAAATCAGAATGATTTAAAATTGGTCCCCCTTTTAAATCACATTCAATGATACTTTTTTTGTGATTTACTAGTGCCTTTTATTAAAAATTCTGTTACGTTTGGTATGACGAGAGAATTTTCGAACATGTAATTGATAAGTATTCAAATGCATATATATATATGCATATGCAATTAGTATTCCTATGCAGGTTCATTACTTTAAAATCATAATCTAATAATCATGCAAAAAATAATTAAATTAAAATTTTTTTATTTTTAATTAATGTAAAAAGTATCAAAAAGTGCTACTAGTTGGCTATGTGTCAATATTGAAGTCTGCCTATTTTTCAGAAACATGAGTTACGTAAGATTATGTGAATATGATCTTTACTTTGGAGGAGGGGACAAACTGATCAAGACTTTTCATGATAATCTGGATAGACTTGCTGGTGTTATGGAAAATTCTTATGTATTTTTGTTGTGTATAATTTTTGCGTATTATTTTACTGTGAATTTGTATTGTGCTTATTTTAAAATTAATGTATAATATTTAATATTGTTAAACTTTACGGCAAAGCTCCATTAAGTTGACAGAATATGTGTTACAGTTAAAAGGGCGCGGGTGTATTTCCGTTTCTTTCTCACGCGTAGGCTTCTTTGGAGGTTAGAGGTCACTGTCCAGCTGCATTTTTTTCCCCTTTTTTTTCGCGGGGGTTGAAAACACGTGTTTTTTTTTTTCTCGTTCAGAGGCGAATAGTTCTAAGGGGCGGCAATTTTTTTGACAGAGTTATAGGTTGGAGACATTCTTCTGTTGCGTGGGAAAGAAAGGGTCTGTCAACTTGTAGAAAGTTCTGATTTCTGATTTCTGAGAATTTCAGTGGCGATTTATTACTTTTCTTCTGGTTGGCGAGAAGAGAGTCCAAGTTTCCTTAAGATTTGGCTAAATTTTTAATTTTAGTGTTGTTTGAGCCAATAGTAATTTTGAGGCGTTTCTTGGTAAGTGACAACCGAGGTTTCTTAAGCCGTTGCAAGGGAGAAGAAAGAGAGATTTTGTGAGTTTTGGTCCAGTTTGATAGTCTTTGAGAGGAGCGTTACCCGGCGACCCCTTGGGGGGGGCGACCGCGGTTACGGTTAATATTGCTGATCTCCGTGGCACTGACAGCAGTGACTGGTTCCAGCTCGTCGCGGGCTCCTTGCGGTTAAATTTCGGCATAATTGGCAAAGGATCTGGAGCTAGGTCCAGTGTTTGAATCATGTCTCTGACGTTTTCAAGGGGTGGAAAGAAACTGCAGTTTTTTTTGCTCGCGCTGTAGTTCCAGTTTGCTTTCGGAAAATAAGAAAAAAAAAAGAGGGAAGTCGTCATCTCCTTAGGTCTGCCTTGGTCTGTTGTCTCCAGTTTCGACCTCCTTCTCGTAATCTTCAGTGGGTCTTTGAAATCGGGAAGTTGATTTTGTTAAGTTAAAATGCTGCTTGACGGAGGCTACTGCTTGAACTATGTAAAAAGTCCGGTTCTTGAAAATGGATGAAGATTTGGCAGTTATTGTTTCGGCGATTGGTGACTCGATCCGGGCAGCTTCCTGTGTCCTCGGATTTCGTGAGTGACTTTATATTTTCATTGGTGCTTTATTTTGATAATTAATCTTTTTAAATTTGGAAATGTTTGATACTAAAGCAAGAGCTGTCATGTTAAGTAGATAAAAATTGAATATTTTTACTATATTTTTAGCTGAGAAGGTGTTTTTTTATTTAATGTTTAATAGTCAGAAGTTAATTGAATTAATTGGAGGAAGTGAATCTTTGTTTTTAATGTTTAAGTGCTATGTTCAATATGTTTTATTCTAAATTAGTTTTTTTAAATGAGTTTTAATCTTCTTGAGTTCCTGTTTAAAATGATTAAGAACTGTGACGTGTTTCACTATGATTTTGTATTAATGGATTAATGTTAAATATGAATTGATATGAAAAAAAAAAAACTATGAGTAACTTTAAAAGATTTTGTAGGGGTAGTCTGGCCAGCTATCTTAAATTATAATGTGTGGGAATTTTCAATAAATGTGTTTATTATCTTTAATACTGTATGTTTCCTTTGTGTATTAATTGTGGTCTACTGTAGGTCACCCATGTGATCCTTGCGGAAACATGTTTTTTCAACCGAACCTGGGTACTCATATTGCGGTAGTAGAAAAAAATAAGTCAATTTAAGTTGTTCGGTGACTATACGATCGGTTTACTGAATTTATTTTGATTTGAAGAGTAGACTTCTTAATTGGGAGATTGTTATCTTTTCCCCTGATGTTTTGAAGAGTTCTGTGTGGTATTTGAAATGTTAAAGGTTTACGGCTATCTCTAGATTTAGTACTAAAATTTATGTGTTTTCAGGTTGGAGATATAAATTTTTAATTTAGGGAGAGATAGCGTGTTAAAGATTTTGTTGTGGAAGTGCATTTTCGAATTTTGTCTTTGTCAATTAATCGTGATTCTACCAAAACACCTGGGAGGATATCTTTCTTTGATGTCTTTTAGAGTTTAAAAGTTTTGATTATGTATGTACAAAGTTTAGTAGTTTTTTTTTTTTTTTTTTTTGTTTTTTTTTTTTTTTTTTTTTTTTTTGTTTTGTTGCGGCACCAAGCAGTCAGTTTGAAAGAGTAAGTCTAAAAGAAAAATTTTATTTTTTTTCTACGTAACACTGGTCACCTAACCTCTTAACAACACAAAACTTTTCTCTTAGATGGTATTTTATTTTAGTTATATACAAATACATTTTGCTTTTGATTTGTGTACTATCCCTGAATATGATCTCCAAATTTAATGTCAAATATATTGCAATTTTTGTCATACAGTAGTCATACTTAATGTATTTTATTTTTTTACACTGAGTATAAAACTTCCTTAAACATAAGTATATAGACTGCCAGAGTATGTAAAAAGTTAGATTTTGTAGTTCTTACAAAATTAATGCTTTGAATTTAAAAAAATTCCAAAACATGAATACTTAATTATTTTCATAACTGTAAATAATATGTCTGTGACCAACAATTTGAAAATAAAGGCTGGACTGGACACAGTGTATAGCAATACTGAAATTGTATTTTATATTTCATGAAAATATAAGTTTATTTTTATTTATTTATTTTTTTTTCAAATAGCCTTTTGTTCTATAAAATGTGTAAACAATTGGTTATTATTAGAAGTGAACCCTTTCAGAAGACACCCTGTTTTCACTATGTGGTGCGGGCTGCCTAGTAAAACAACATATTGGTTTGATGCATACTTTTATGGCTGGCATTATGTCAGCATTTATCACAGCTAATTACCTGGTTTGATAAATACTTTCAAAATGCAAACTTTTTCTGCAGAAGTAGAAAATCTTATTCGAGTTATCTTGCAACAGCAGTTTGAAAACAAAATTTGGCAGCATGGAAGTGACAGAATCTTGGATTTCAACAAAAGCTGAATCCTATGTTGTAAGGCTCAGTGGACTTTAATTCCATACTTTTGGGAAGTTGAGTTTTCGGTAGTCGTTTTAATAAAAAGCAAGTAGACCAAAAATCAACATGGAAAAAGGAAATGAGGGTGGTCACGTCTAGTTTAATTCTATGAATAGAGAAAATATATAATAATTTGCAGGCTCATTCATCACATTAATTAATAATTTAATGTTAATAAAGTAAGAAAAAATGTTAAATAATGAAGATACAAGAGTTTTATTTATTTTTATCTCTTATGATTAGTCATACTTTTACTTAAAGTAGGGCACCACAGAAAAATGTTAACTGAAAAAAGGCGCAGCGACTCGAAAAATTAGTTTAAACTTTTACTGATCATTCAACTCAACACATATTGTTTCCTTATTTCTTTTCAGATATAAATACACACATATTTTTTATGCAGAAGATCACTGGTTTCTAATACTGCATTTAATTTGAATGAAAATTCCTCTTATGTAAAATATTAAAAAAGCAGATTATACCAAAAACATGTTATTTACGTAACAGTATAACCTATATATAAACTTACCATAGTAGAAACATTTCCAATACATTCAAATGTATAATCTAATCCACCATCAGTCATTTTTCTATTAGCACATCTTGAATAGGCTTGGGATGATCTTTAGGGTTCACAAATTCAGTACAGCCAAATTTTTTTGCTAAAAACAAAGATTGCAATAAACATGATTACAGCATCAGAAAATATTTATTTCTTAGATTATTATTATTATTTAATAATTTTCTTACTGTAGGAGTGTCTCAGAATTGTGAATTTTTCATTTTCCATTTTTCCACAATTATGAACGAGCTGCATCCCCTTTCTGGAGATATTAATATGGGACGGAGAAGCTTACTAATGTTATAATTGTCTTCTTCACTAAATTAGCACACAAGTTTTCATATTATGCTAATTTAAAATGAAACAACACCATAGTAATCTTTTTTCCACCACTGGCTTTGCTATTTTGAACAGCTCATTTTAAATACAAGATTTTATGTTTTATATCTTCATTTTTCAGAATTTAAACAAGTGAGAGACTTCTGGCACATTATCGATATCTCATCAGTACAACTTCTCTATTTTATCTTGAAGTAATTTTGTTTTGGCCTATATTTATCCTATGCTACTATACTTATAACTAAATCTTCAATCAGAGTTAAATGTTCCCTAATAATTCATTAACTTTTTTGTCAAGCTGAATTATATCATTTGTAGTGCTTCTGAATTTCTTAATACATCTTGCAGGTTCTAAACATGTAAATGCCTAGCTCACAAACTAACAGCAAGAAAAGTTAAAGGTTATTTATAAATTACCTCAGGAAAAGGGAGATTTCTTAAACTAGTAGCCATATAATAACTGGCTAATTTTAAATTGTTTAAGGTATTAAAATAAAATTTTTGCATACAAAAATCAGATTGAAACTTTTTTTAATCATAAGATTTAGATATTACTTCTTAACTTTTTGAAACTCTTCGTGGTGTTAAGATTATAATCTGAAGCAGACAGATTACATTTTATAAAATCTCTGAATGATTACATTACTAAAATTATTGTATTAAAAAAATTGAAAAAAACACTTTATAATATTCCATATAATAGCAGTATAAGAGAAATCAAACACATTATTTTAGTTGTTATGCAGTTTACATATATTGTAATTACTTGTGTGGTTTGTTTCATATTTAAACAATGTAGTTATTCTATATAATATTATAATTACATTCCTTCTTCTTCTGGAATTTTATTTATTAAAATACCTAATTATCAGACCATACCAAATTTGGGGGGGGCAGGAACATAGCCAAAAAAAAAAATCTGATGTGGTCAGCATCAGTACATGTCCTCTCACCAAGTCCCTGTTTTAAATAGCAACAAGTTTTAAGTAAAGTATTATTTCAGATTGATAGTTTGTAAATAAAATTGCTTCAAAAAAATAGAAAGGTCTGTGATAAAAAATTCTATGTTTTATCTTATTGGTAACTGGCTATGTGTACAATTTGGTTTTCCTAAATTTATACTAACATAATTCATTTATTTTTGGATTTGTCATTTATTTATCTTTTCCATTTTAAATATTTTATTATATATTATATTGGGTGGTTGAATAACATACAATTTAATTTGTTTTTAATTTAAGAAAATTGTTTATAATATATTTATAATGGAACTATTCTTATATGCGCCCTCAGGTCGCCAAATTTCTCGCCAAACATTTTTGTCAAGAAACTCCACGCTGCCATATTACTATCTAAATTTTTTGTCTACATTTCGAACTTTAAGCCTAAAATGTCTCCAAAAAGCGGTTTTCGCACATGCAAAAACCATGTTTTGAACACACAATTTAAGCTAAAAATCCGAAACAAACACAAAAAAAATTTAGATAGCAAAAACGTAAAGTTTCTAGCCAAAAATATTTGACAAGAATCCATGTACACAGCAATATGTTTTAACTTAAGAAAACATCTACGAATTGCCCAATCTAGGCAACGAACGAATCTACAAACTACGCACACTCGCTTTAATAAATCAACATAACAACAATAAATTTCAAAGAATACCATGTACACAGCATCCTGTTTAAACTTAATAAAACATCTATGAATTGCACAATCTAGACATTGCACACAAGTCAACAAAACAAGCTAAAATAACTAAAATTACAAACAATTCAAAAAATAACAATAACAACAGAAATTCATAGTAAAAACCAATAAACATAACATTCTACAAAACAAAAACAGTAAAATAAAATGCATTTACCATAATATATTCTTTAATAAAATTTCACCAGTCACACAACGTCTGTGAACAAAAGTGCCATGATTTTGCTATAAAAACTTCCTCCAAAGTTAACTTACTACACGAAAACCACGATCCAAATCTTAAACTCTGCTGACTGCTACATACTTTACCAGCAAGCATTTGACTGCAAATCCAAACAAGAACTATCAAAAACGCCCTTCTTCATCCTCATAGCAGCTCCACATTTGCGGACTATGTTTTAAAAGTCCCACAGAAATTCCAAAAATACACTTCAATCCTCATAAACACACCTGTGAACAAAAGACTCATTAACAACTCCAACATCGTACCTTTTAATACTAAATTTATTTTCCACAAAATCTACAATGTGCGACTGAAATCTTGCCACCATGTCTATCATTGCAACATAGGCCCTTTCAAAGCACACAAGACACGAACCAATGAGCAATTAAACCACTCCAGCAAAAGAGTTTTCAACGTCAAAAGGGTTGCCATACAACACGCAATCATGCCAAAAACCATGGTGATCTTAGGGCGTATATAAGAGTAGAGCCAGCATAATTTACACATTGAAATGAAAATCAATTTAATTATTTTCCATGTTTATACAGTATAAACAAATCTAAATTTATTTTGATCTGAAAATATATCTCCGTGATATTTTAGGTATCAATGAAACTTAAACCATTTATATAAACCATAACAGTATATTATGGTTTATACATGAGACGATATTTTATGTTGACTGCTACAAAACTATTATTGGGCTTCAAGTAAAGTACTACTACCAGTCATTAAAAACTACTATGTGCTTCAAGTACCAATTCTGACTGTTCAATTTTATACAAAATCTAATCAACTCTTTATACGAAAGCAGAAAGGTTAAATACGGAAAACAGAAATTTTTGGAAGGTTGCTATAAGAGTTATCACAGACAAAAACTCATCACATGCATACACATATACTTACCTCATTGCAAGAATGTGTTGTGGAGGCCCTTATTCACTGAAAACGCACTATTAATGGTGGAAAGTTTTATCGAATTTTTGGATCAAAAACATTATCGACTTTACTTATGTATATAGGCTGGCAAGAATAAAGAGGTTGTTTTTGACTTCTGAATTAAAAAAGAGGGTCTTACATTCGACTAAATACAGTATGAAACATTCAAAAAAACTCTGAAAAATGTTGTATTCAGTTGAAATTACTTTTATTGAATTTTCAATTTTACCAATATTTTTGGTATTTTCAGACGGCAGTTACTTTTGCCAAAATTCAAACCTAGTTTATAATACATTAAATATAAACAAATTTATTCTGAAATTAAACTATGCATGTATGTCAAATGAATAACATAATGAAGCAATCTCAGAATTTTCATACAACATATAATTATTAAATCTCTTCTAATTTATAATGATTCATTAGTTTTTCTTTCAATATCACATTAAAATATTGTGGTTAGAGGCAGCTTGGCTATCATTCTAATCAGATACAAATGAATTCTAATTAGAACCATGCTCTCATTAAATACGTACCTACAAGTTTATTTTGGAAATGACAAAATATAAAATATGTTACAGTCCAGTATGAAAAATTAGAAGAGATATTTACTCAATTCTTATTATTTTTGCCTGTGTGGTTATAAAAGTATCCATTCCATTTAAAAATTCAAAACAAAACAAGCTACAAGCATTCTGAATAGAAAACAGTACAGTCCAATATCCATTCCATTTAAAAATTCAAAACAAAACAAGCTACAAGCATTCTGAATAGAAAACAGTACAGTCCAATTTTTGTAAACAGACACAGGATTATTGAGAATTTTGTCCATTATCAGGAACTCTCCACTAAATGTGGTGTGCTATTCTCTTATTTCAGTGGTCTGGAGATTTAGGAACCATTCATTAATATTGAATGACCCAAGATAAAATGAACCAAACATGAAAGATTTCACCTGCTTTGGGTTTGGTTTACCTTGGGATACTCGATAGTCAGTGTATGCTAAAGTGAAGTGTCAATTAGCAAAGCTTCATTAAATGCTTTCAAGCTGGTAAAAGTTCCAAGAATTTGATAGGACTCATATCTACAATTTTACAGGACTAAATTAGCAGCATTTATTATTTATATAAAAACATTACCACTTTTTTTCTAGACATCAATAATCATTGCATAAAATGACTAAACCACCATCTGAATAAAAACAGCCTGAATATTTTATATAAAAGCATAATAAAGCCAAAGTTTAATAAATTATGATGATTTTCATTTCTTCTGCACAAAATATTATCCTTATAAATATTTAAGTCATGATGTATTCTGTTCATACCTATTTCATATTTATCTGGATTGATATCAACTCCTATTATTCGAGAAGATCCACGCTCTCGGCATCCCATTGCAACAGCCAGTCCTACAGTACCAAGGCCCCATATTGCCACATTAGAATTAGGTTCTACATTGGCAGTATTTAGGGCAGCTCCATATCCAGTGGGTATTCCACAACCTAAAAGACACACTTTGTCTAATGGTGCCTTAGCATCCACCTGAAAAATATATAAACCATTTCATGTAGCAGAAAAGATGTAATAAATGATAAGATAAACTTCAGACGAGACATAATAAACAAAATTTCGGACTCGGGAACAACTTAGGACACACAAGGTAGTACTAATGTTAAATGTAATATATATGTATATATTCTTCCAGTGTCAGCAAAGAATTTTATTAGCAGAAAATTAAAATTCTTGATTCAATGGCAAAATTTGAAATGGAGTTGTTTGTTATATCACATTAAAAGTACGTACAGGTAAAGTTCCGATTCTATAAAAAAAATTCCAAAAATGTCTTTCTGATAATTTTAAAATTAGTGCATTTTGTTAAAATGATAGAAATTACAAATAAGAATAAAATAAATACACTTTAATACTTTTTTTTAAATTTAAAGAAATGAATACATGATGTGAACCTTGGTCAATGATTTGTATTTTTCACTCCTCATTTAAATCTATGATTTTGAAAGAAGTTTATTAACTACTTAATTATTGCCATATTAAAACTGCTGTACATTAAAACGCTATAAAGTCCAAATCCAGACTTCCAGTAATCAGAATTAGCTATTATCTCCCATAATTTTTTTTCACTCACACAGCACAGAAACACCTAATATGATAATTATGTAAAAGCAAGAGTGTCTTAAATCAATCTTTGTTTCAACTACTAACCCCCCCCCAAAAAAAAACATTTTTATCTGCAATAATATTGAATCCTTCTGCATGTTGTTTTGTTTTTAAACATTGCCAGCTAGTAAATCACGCTACATTTCTTTTAATTCCCTTTTAAAAATATTAATTATTTGAATTTTTTCTTAATTAAAAGCCATCAAAATTCGTCTGCTTTTTTAAAATAAATAAATTTTTTAGACAATTCCTAGAACACTAAAAGTTTTTCAATTCAGAAATTTCAGAGAGAGATTAAACTCCAAGAATTACTCTGTTTTTGAATTAGATAATGAAAAGATCAACTAAAATTGTCATACATGATAAAAAAACTCAGAACGCATAGACACATTAAAATTATTATTTCATTCAGGAATGGAACAATAAATTGGGTATATAAATCATCTGTATGGACTTGAAAAAAGTTTAATCTCTGATTCTACATGTAAACAAAATTGTATTTGACAGCTATTTAAAAAAAAATTAATAATGTATAAGTAAATAAAATGCTTCTTGCTTTCTCTAGATAAAATTTTTATTTTAATAAGTAAATTCTAAACCTGATTTACATCTTTTCAATCTGCTAGCTTGCTTAATAAGACGCTTTTTGATTCAATCCTCCAGCATATTGTTTTAGCTTTAAACACTGCTAGCTAGCAAATCACATTTTCACTTTTGGCTCTCAAACAGCAGAGTAAGAGGAGGAATTATTTTATCCAACCATGTACACAGTAAAGCCCCACTCACAAGGACCGATTTGACCGGTAGCAAAAACTGATTCTTCCAACGAGTCTCATTCACACGACGAACAAGCATTAACTGCCTCTCACAATTGGAGGTAGAACTTGGTAGAATGTTCCTAGCTCTCTAAAGTAGGGCAAATGGAGAAATTTCCCATACTGCATTACATGGTTCGCTTAATTTTAAAATAAAGTGAAAATAATGCATATTATTTCGCTTAATTTTAGCAAACAACATGGCTGACGTGTAAAATTAATTTTATAGAGAACACTGATGCATATTCTGAGAATTCTGAATATTCTGAGACAATTACATGAGAAAATTCTTATCATGAAAAAATTAAAAAGAAGATATTTTTATTTAATTACATAGCTATTTTGCTTTTGCTAAGAACTGTTTCGTAAATTGTGCATTATACCTTTTTTATTTTTCAGATTCAAAATATTGTATAATAAGTGGCCAAAATAGAACTTTATAATATGACAGCAAAAAATAAAAATGTTATATTTTAATGATATTTTTAAAATATAATTTCAATATATTACCATTATTTTAAAGAAACATATCAACGTTACAACGTTTAAAAAAAAGTCGTCGAAAAATTGCCAGATCTTGGAATTAAAAATTTACTATAGAAACTGAATAGAGCCGTCCCATCCCCACAAGCGAAAAGTTTTTTAGGATCTCTTCATTAGAAAAAGTGAAACAATTTCGAAATGCTTATGTTTCACTTCTTGCTTAGAAACCTGAGTATCCCACCATTTATATTAGAAATGGGAACACATTATAACCCATTCCAAAGATAACCATACTTATCAGTCAATCGCCAAAAATATACCTCCAAAATGGCAATTCACACTCAAAATTTCAGTCGTACAAACAGACAGAAATTTCACATGATTAAAATTAAGGACCTTCTCCCAATTTTGGCTGAAATTAAGGACTTTTAAGGACCAAAAATCAATTCCAAAAAACTTAAGTACTTTTAAGGACCGTACGAACCCTGATTAATCAGCCAATGGATATCAGAAATTGGTGCGCATCACATGTAGATATAAAAGAGCCTTTTCGTAACAGATGCGCAATAATTCGTAGGTTCATTCTAGAATTCGCAGGTTCTGAGTTGACTGTCCGCTGATATTTCTAAAAACATTTGCATGAGCACAGGTAACACAGGGCGATGATTTTTTAAGGGTGCCAGTTAAGTTGTTCTCACAAGTGCAAATAAAATAAAGGTACATTTCATTTTTAATTATGAATATGTTTTATTTATATAATGCATAAACCATGCTGATTGTTTGGAGAACCAAAAATACTGGAGTTGCGCCTATTCATAGTCAGCTAACATATTTTATGATGACCATAAATTTGAAGATTTTCAGATAGTATCACAAGTAAAAAATTAAATCTTTTAATAGAGGCATATGTGAAGAAATGTTAAATGAAGATGATATTACTGCTGAAGTCTCTCACTACAATGAGAGTGCCTAAGTCATCAATCAATTAAGAAAGGGTAAAATTTCTATTAAGCTACTTCAAACAGCAGTACACTTCAATTTGTAATAAGCAGCTTTGTAGTAAACCACTATAAATATTATCATTTCGGTTTTGAGTTGCATTTTAATTTTATGAAGTAGTTATTCAAAAACAGTGTTTCTTTGTGCAATATACCTCTCTTTCTTGAAAACACCAGAATAGCTAATCATTTATCTCTTGGTAAACTCAGACTCTTTAAAAACACAAAAAGTCTTAAAAATACATTTCAAAGAGATGAGGGACTATGATTAGGTGAAAAATGTGGTTGAAGGTGGAGAGAAGCCAAACTGAACTGATGACGTCCAGCATCCAGGATATATATGCCAAATGGCTTTCAAAGAAATAAAATGTGAAATTTTCCAACTAATGAAATATATAAAGAAATGCAAAGAAAATTAAAATGAAGATGATACAACTGAACTCTTCATTGTTATGACAATTTCCCAATCATCAATCAATGGACAGCAAAACCTATATTATGACTTATCCAGAAAATATCACCACTGATTATGAAGAAATTAACAAAGAGGTTATTGGAAATGAAAAGATTTCAATTCATTGTTTAACAGAAATTCTCAACATAACAATTATAGGATTGAACAATGAAACTTTATACCTAAAAAAAAAATCTGAGAGCATTCAGATTTTACATTATGCCCAAAGGGGCATTTTTTTTAACATTTTGTGGGTTACCTTTAGTTATTATATATCATGTTCTTCACTTAAACCATAAAATTTAGTTCAAGAGCAATATCGCAAAATAATTTTAAAATGAGCATATCTTTAAAATTTCCGATACACAGTCACGCACGTTGCAGATAAAGTGTTTTTTTTTTTTTTTTTTTTTTTTTTTCCCTGTACAGTGTTCCCATTGCTCAATTTGAAATCATCGAGTTTAATAAAAAAAATTTTTAAATTTTACAAAATATGAAATAGATAATAAAACAAATTCCAAATCTGGGCTTCCAGATGCCCATATGCGGGTGGAAACATACATTAATAAAAATTTGATGGCTCTAAGTACCATCGTTTTATCACAATGTGAGAAACATACATAGATTTATGCAGATTCTTTATTTAATTTCTTTAAATATAATACAGGACTGTAATATTCAGTGGCAACAGTTTGAAAAGTAAACCGATATTTAAAGTTTTCAACGCAAAAAGCCAAAACGAAATTAATAGCCCTTCTGGGCTAATGCTCTTTGGGCTAAAAATATATCTCTATATAGAATTAAAGTGTTAACACAAACAATATTACTTAAATAACTGACATTAAAAAAGTGCAATGAAACAAAATAAAATTTAACATTGAGCTTTTTAATGTAAATTTTGGTCCTCTTCAAATCATAAATGCTTTATTACTTCACAAAACTTTCATATTTATTATTATTATTATAATTTCAACATATAAACTTATTGGATTTAAACTGATTTAGAAATTTCCGAAATTCAGCAGACTTTGTACTGTACACTTAAATAAATACAATTTATACTATATAAATGGCATTACCTTTGCAATAGAAATTTCTGCAACAACTGTATACTCTGAAAAAGTACTAGTACCCATAAAGTGATACACAGTTTCCCCTTTACAAGTGAATCGACTTGTACCATCTGGCATAACACCTTTACCTTGAGTGGTTCTGAAACAGAATAATGTATACAAGTTTTGAGTTAGTGTATTTTATATACACATACAAGACAAAATGAAATCAAGACTATAAAAACAAGCTTAATTGTTACATCAGATTATTTTTATGCTACAATACAAATTCTATACTTCTGACTCTTATTTGAGAGTCGGTGATGAACAAAGGGCCAACAGTTGAATATACTATGGCAACTGATCGGAATAATCAAGATTCCACAGATTACAAAAAAAAAAAAAACTATTAATAAAAAAGGATAACTAATTATTTATTAATATAAAATTATATCTTATGGTACAGAAGATATAGAAAATAAATACAAGAGGAAAAGTACATGAAAATTATTTAATAATATTGTTGCAAAATGCCTAGCCATAACACGGGGCTAGAGCTGCCAGAAAAAGGCAGGAAAAGGCACATACTGGGCACGAAATTGTCCATTGGGCGATATTTACCTACAAAATTGGTGATACACCATAGATGGAACAAGAACATTTCAGAACGCATTCATAATGGTTTTCCTGAGAATATTCTCAAAGGTAGGTTAAAGCTATGTATGCTGTGCCTGTACGAGTAGTAGTAGTGTCTTGAGTTTGGGATTAGCTTGAAAGCGACCGACCAAGTCAGAAGCTGTACTTTAGTGCTTCAGGCTATAACAGTACTTTCATGTTTCACTGTTATAGCTTGAAGGCTGTGTTGCTGATTGTTTCAGCATATTCACCATAGTATTTCAATGACTGTAAATGTGTATTTCAAACTGTCCTGTGTAACAGTGCTTACTGGCAAATAAACTGTGTTTTGATTCTTCATCAAGTGTTATCAATTACTCAAAATCTATGAATCTGTAGAATGCAACATGTTCTAAAAATCACTAATATTTTTTTAAACATATAAACTTTTTAAGCAATAAGTTCAGAATAAAAAAGTAAAACTCAGGAACATAAGATAACAAAATTAGAATAAGAAGAAAGCAAAACTAATGGGAAAATCTGCATCTACTCTTCCACCCATGCTGACAGTTGTTAACAGAAGTTATGTTCAAATGGCAGTTACATCAATATATAAACATTATATTTGATGTTTGACAAGAACACTACAAGCTAACTGCTGCTTTTTATTTATTTATTTGTTTCATTCTAGGCATCAAACCTAGTTTATGATTTAAATTAGATTACAAAGCCATTACATAGTTATGAAAACAGATTCACATTTAATTATTCCACTTATATGCGACCAGTGGCGAGCTACGGAAATTTTAAAAAGGGGCTTTCACTTACACTATAAAAACAAATACCAAATTCTAATTAAATGTCTTATTTTTTCAAAAAGAGAAAATATAACACATGAACAAAAAAATATTTTCAAATAAAAAAAAGTTAAAATTTGAAAAATAAAAAACACAAATTAGCAGATAATTCTTGTGAGATATTGATCCTCAATGTCAGGTCTTTTGAAAATTGCAAATCTAGAAGTTGGTTTAAAAAAATCCTTATTCCTCTTGCTTGATGGAAAATGCTTGCAATAGTTTCTCTGCACAGTCAAAGACATTCTTAAATGGAATGCTGCTCATAGTAGTCTAAGCACATAAAAGATTTTTAATAGTTTGACTCCTAGATTTTATTAATCTCATTTGATTCTGTTTAGTTTGGAAGGGATTGTAGCAAAAAGCATCAAACTTACCAAGAAATATTTCAAAATGATCTATTTCAGTAACATGTTTTTAATACATCTTCTAATGCCATTTTTAAATGATAAAGTATGCAGTGCCAAATCACAATATTACAAAAAATCTGAAGAAGTTGAATTGCAGTTTCCAGTTTTCTTCTACCTAGCACTGCACTAGCTCTATCAGAACAAAATGCAATTAAACAGTGTTTCAAATAACTTTTCAGAAAATTCATATGAATTTAAATCATTAATTGTACAGATATGTGTATGTCCAGTGGTAGTATTTTCTACTTCCAAACAAATAGAATAAGGGATTCACATGATTATGCACAAATTTAATGAAATGCACATACAAACTCCCTACAACTCATCATTATGTGAGACTTCATTTTGGACAATTTTTTATAAAGGAAGCCGAAAAGAATTGCTTAAAATAATAAAATCTTACCTAATTTTTGAACATAAATTGGTTTTATGGCTCTTACAGAATTTGCATTCTCCACACTGAGGAATGTACAAAGGAATAACATGATCACCTATCATTCAAAACAATAAAACATAAAATTAAGTAACAAACTGTATAATTTTAAACAAAATTATTCAATATGAGAGCATTTTTAATGTCTAAATGTAGTTTTTTTTAAATGTTTAATTTTGGATAATGTGTTTAAAAAACAATTTAAAAGTACAGAATGCAAAAGAAGTCCAATAAATTATTTCTACAGAAAAAGCATTTTGCTAATATGCTATAAATATAATATAACGAAAGAATTCTAGAAAAATTAATATCCCAGGAAAATGTTTTTCATATTTCAACACAGAACTGTTTACTCAAACCAATCTTTTAATAAAATTACAGATAGCCAATTCCTTGCAAACACTATATAAAATAGTTCATATGCAAATATGTTACAAATAAAATACACTCATGTCCAAAATTATCTTTACATGCCCAAAAATGATGATATTCAATGAAATATCGAATCAATGTGATCCATATTTGCAGGGAATGTGTGAAAACCAAGCCTAATTAGCATTATCCAATCAAAAGTAATCAAACGGTTTGTGATATGCAAATCTAGGCGTTACGTCATCCAAGGGTGAATCAATCGCTTTGCGCAAGCTGAATATTTGAGTGAATTTCTGCAACATAGCGTTTGATTTCAGTGTGTAGGGACTCAAAGCGATTTGTTATGGCTTCGAAGTATCATTTGGAAGAATCTGTAAAGTGGCGAATTATCGGCCGTTTAGAAGCAGGGCAGTCAATCACGGAAACAGCCACATGTCTGAATATTTCAAGACAGACAGTCTCTAAGCTATGGAAACAGTTTCAAAATGATGGAAGTTTTGTAAGGAGGCCTGAACAAGGTCGGAAACGAATGACAACTGCTTCTGAAGATCGGTATCTGGCATTAACTGCCCTTCGTAACAGAAAGACTACAGCTCGCCAGTTAAGTTCAGAGCTTGCAGCTGCCACTGGAACTGTTGCATCACGGCAAACAATATACAGAAGGCTTAATGAAAAAGGCTTTTATGCCAGAAAGCCAAGGGTATATGTTTTACTGTCTTCACAGAAAAAGAGGGATCGCTTTAATTGGTGTAAAGAACATCAAAACTGGACTGAACATCAATGGTCCCATGTTCTCTTTACTGATGAGTCGCGGTTTAGTTTAATTGGTGATTCTAAACGTGTTTACATCTGGAGGGAGTCAGGAACACGAAATGATCCCTCGAACATTGTGGAACGTGACCGTTTCGGTAGTGGAGGTGTGATGGTATGGGGTGGAATAATGATCGATGGACGTACGCCCCTACATGTGTTCAGCAGCAGATCTGTGACAGGCCAGATATATCGGAATGAGGTCTTAGATCCTTATGTAAGACTTTCCAGGGGTACATATGGACCTGACTTTTTATTTATGGATGATAATGCCCGTCCACATCGAGCAAACCTCGTTGATGAATTCCTTGAAAGTGAAGACATTAAGCGAATACCTTGGCCACCAAACTCTCCTGACCTTAACCCGATAGAGAACTTATAGGACTACCTTGGAAGAGCAATTGCACGTATACATCCTCCTCCCAGAGATGTAAATGCTCTGAAGACGGCATTGCTGGAAGAGTAGAGATTAATTCCCCAAACTGTGGTTAACAACGTTATTTCCAGCCTTAAAACACGTTGTGATATGTGTGTACAAGTCAGGGGAGATCATATTCCATATTAAATTCGTAAGACTTAATTCTTTTTCTGAATCATTCCTTTTTTTTCTTAACTCTCTTTGGCACACTTTATTACCATTTTTATTGTTTCATGCTACAATTTTATATCATATGAGGTGATCTTCAATTTTTTCTTTTGCATTTATGTGTCATCATGTTATGTATGATTCCACGAAAATTCATTAAATTATAAGTCATAGTCTCTGAGAAATCCATGAATTTATGCATGTAAACATAATTTTGGACATGAGTGTATTAACACGTTGACTGCCCACTACGAGATAACTCGTATTAGCACTCTTCTTCAGGATGCCCAATATGAGTTATCTTAGTTTCTTGACTTGCACTTTTGCACCGCTATAAGTTACTTGCTCGCTTAGCGCTTGTTTTAGCTGTACCAAGGCAACAAGTCGAAGCATGTCTGTGCGAATCAACTCGTAGCGGGCTTCTGCGAAGAGCTTTGTCTAACAAAAGCCGACTACGAGATAATTCGCAAGACCCTTTTTTCTAAAAATAAAAAAATAAAATAAAATCCTGTAAACTTTTTAATGATTGTTACAAATCATAATTAGTATTTGTAATAATATAATATGATTAAATCAATTTGGCTTCTCGGACCGGAATGTGAAAAGTGCCATGGCAGTCAGTGTGTTAAAGATATGTAAAGTAATAACAAATAAGTGAATATAAGTCTAAAAAGGTAAGGGAATAAAATGCATATTTTCATGCATGGCATTAAGATACAGTCATGATCAACACATTTCTTATGCATGACATTTCAAATTCTTACCAAATACTATTTTTTCATATTTTAAATCATAAATAATTTGATGTTTTAAGAGCCAAAACAGAAAATTAACCTCATGCTTAAAAAATTGGAAAATATATCTTAAAATAATATTGCTTTCAAATTAATATAATCAAAGTATTTGAAAGGTAACTTGGTGTAATTCACTGAAAATTATAAACTTTAAAGCAACTGTCTCTTATATAACATACTGAGCAATAGTAAATATCAAAGAAACAGAAATAGCATAAAAGGTTGTAAAATTACATGTGTTAAACCTATTGAAAGAGTTACAAAAAAATTAAATCATTAACTAAAGATGGTATTCCCCTTTGGTTGAACAAAGCTAGCTCTCAAGAAATTCATCAGTAGAAAAAAAATCTGAAATTAACATTTCGAAATGCAGGTGCTTGTTCAAAATAATTTACTTCTGATAAAAAGCTGTGAAGAAAAATTAAGTATACATTATTTTGTTTCAGGCAATCAGTGACTGGTATAGTGGATGCAACCCTAAGCTGATATCTCTCAGCTAAATGTGGCTATTAAAATCAGTTGTAGTTATGGAGTTTATACATGAGTAATCACTTATATGCTTTATTAAAAATTTTCAAGTATATTTAAATTCTGTGGAGCTATTAAATTCTGTGGATGCTTCCCAAACAGCTTTTCCTGTAACTCACAGGTCCCACAAGAAATCTTTAAAAATGTGATTTTGGCAACAATTTTCCTGTCTTATTGTTGTTGATAGATTTTTGATGAAATCACATCATTTCGAATAGTTTCATTCTTTTAAAAATATGGGTTTGGCAACAATTTTTCATCCTATTTCATATATCACTGTTTTTAAGAAATTGGCATGTTTCATTGTCATTTTTATACATATAAAATACATTTTTATTGATTTTTCTTTTTTGATAAAGTTGTCCTGCAGATTAAAATTTTGCACGGAATTTTATGTTTTTTGAGTTGCTTTCATGTTATTTTTTGCTTATTTTACTGTTTGTAAGATATTGAAAAGTTTTGCATGATTTTTTTTCTTCAACAGTTAATTTTTTTATTAGGATAATTAATATTTGTATTAAGGGATATAGCTTATTTCATGGTAATTTTTTCCTCTTGAAAATATAAAATATCATTAATTATACTTTGCTTTTCAGAATTTTTTGTTTTTTGTATTCTTTTATGTTATTTATTGCTCATTTCACTGTTTTTAAGATATTGAAAAGTTTTGAATAATTTTTTTTAGGAAACAAAGTTCTTAACCTCCTTTATACCATTTGAGTTCTTAAGATTTTGCAAAGGGAAGTTAGTTAATTTATTTATTAGGATAATTAATATTTGTATTAAGGGATATTGCTTATTTCATTGTAATTTTGTTATACGTAATAACTTCTTTTTTATGAAGTTGCTCTGCAGAGTAAAATTCTACGCAGTTTTTAAATTTAACATTTGGTGCTCCCTTCAGCCATTTTTCCGGTACATTTAAAAGCCAGACGAAGGCTAGCAGCAGCTGCTAGTAACACATTACAGTACAAAGTCTGAAATTTTCAAGTATATTTAAATTTACAAGTATATTAAAATTTTTACAAGTATATAAAATTTAAAAGTATATTTAACCCCTTCGCGCCGACTGTCAAGTATACATGCCAGCAACGAACGCACTTACCTACCGGCCGACACGCAGGCGTGCCAGAGGATTGTTCCATTCTCTACCGACTGTCACGTATTTGTGCCAGTACTTTGGAACGTTTTTCAAACTATAATTTCTACCACAAGATGGCACTGTATGTCCATATGGTTTCAGATACATGTAAATTAGACCTTCTACTCGAAATGAGAGAAACATGACTCGCATGCACGTGTTTTTGATTATATAAACACAAATGGGGAAGTAAATGTTTCCGAATGGCATGATTTATGACGTCTCTTTAAATCGCACTTTATTCGCATGTGGTAGTTGTTTACCGTAAGTAGAGAAGTTTTATTTGCTCTAAAGCGTTGGGTATTTCAGTTTTCAGTTCAGTTTTTAGAAAATAATTAGATCTTGTCAGACGTGAATTCTTTGTTTTTACCGTTGCAATGTCGAAGCGTCGAAAATGTTTAACAGAGCATGAAATAGCAGAAATGATGCAAAATATTTCAGATATTGATTCTGATATTGATTCTGAAAGATTAACTGAAAGACATTTTCCAAAACTTTGTTCAGAAGAGACTGATAAGAAAATGAGACGACGATGCTTCGTTTGTTCACATTCCCGGAAAAATCCTCCAAAATGGCAAATGAGTTATTACAAGTGCAAGGAATGTAACGTAGAACTGTGTGTAGATCCCCGTTTTCACATTTTTCATACAAAAAGAGAATTTTAAGTAATATATTTAGTTTTCAGATGTATAATGTTAAAATTCATAAAATGGTGAGTAATTAAAAAAAAATGTGTAAAATATGCATTTAAACAAGAAAAAAGGTAATTAAAGTATATACGAGGGCCATCCAGGAAGTAGATTACGTTTCCGTCTGTGTCCGCTAGGGGCGGGGCTAGCGTGGCCATCTTGGGGTCAGAGCGTTGCGCAGCTCAGTCTGCATCTAGCCGTGCTAGTGAGAGGTTCGTGCTGTGCTCCGTTCAGATACTGTGACGGTTTGAAATGTCTGCGTTAATTGAAAATCCAGCGAGCTGCGAGGTGCGCTCAGTAATAAGGTTTCTGACTGCAAAAAACTGTAAACCGATAGAAATCTATCGGCAGCTTCGTGAAGTGTATAGGGACAACATTATCACTGAAGGTGGAGTGCGTCAGTGGGTCATAAGACTTCAAAATGGCCGAACCAATGTTCACGACGAAGATCGAAGTGGGAGACCCAGCATAGTGACCGCCGAACTTCTCAAAAAAAGTCGATGCTAAAGTCCGTGAAAATCGAAATTTCACAATAACGGAACTTTCTTTGAGTTTTCCACAAATTTCGCGAAGTTTGTTGCACGAAATCATCAGCGAAAAGCTTGGTTACCACAAGTTTTGTGCAAGATGGAAGGCAAGAAGAGGTAACGAAGTGGTTGAAGGCGCAGGCGGCCGAATTTTTCGACGAAGGAATTTCCAAGCTCGTACATTGCTACGATAAATGCCTTAATTTGTATGGTGACTATGTAGAAAAGTAGTATTTGAGTGTGGCTTTCATCTGTATATAATAAAATTTGTTTCCTATACTTTGTTTATTTTTTTATTCCAAAACGTAATCTACTTTCTGGATAGCCCTCGTATATATAAATATTTATAAAGCATAAGCTGTTTAAATACTCTATAGAGCATTATTAAACAATGCGTTGATACTTCGGAAATTTCATGGATTTAGGCTTAGTAGCAAAAAAGCCCCCGGCCCTGGAGAGACGCTCGCGTAAGACACTGCCGGCCTCAGCGATAAGCGCGCGTTTTCGCTACCCGGCTCGAAGGGGTTAAATTCTGTGGAGCAGTGCTTCCCAAACAGCTTTTCCTGTAACTCACAGGTCCCACAAGAAATCTTTAAAAAATGTGATTTTGGCAACAATTTTCCTGTCTTATTGTTGTTGATAGATTTTTGATGAAATCACATCATTTCGAACAGTTTTATTCTTTTAAAAATATGGGTTTGGCAACAATTTTTCATTGTATTTCATATATCACTGTTTTTAAGAAATTGGCATATTCCATTGTCATTTTTATTACAGATTTCAGACTTTGTACATTACAGTACAAAGTCTGAAATCTGGACTCGTCGCAACTTCAGCGATTCCGGATTTGGGATTTTTCCAGATATTAGATCATCGATTTAAATCTGACAAGATGGCATGCATAAATTATACAATTAAAAACATGAAATTATAATTTATGAAATTATGATCTAAAGGATATCAAAATTTACAAAAAAAAAAGCTAATATTTATTTGTTTACTTTACTAAACATTTCTTTCAATGTTAAGTTGTTTAAGTTGCTTTCACAAAAAATTCAAAAAGTTCCTTTTTCTTTTTCAAGTCATATACAGTTAGTTGACTTTCCAATGCCATACTCCTCGCATAATTTTGAGACGGATATGACTTTATCCATTTTTTGCAGCAATTTTACTTTTTGTTTAATGGACATCGAAACATGGTTTCGCTTTGGCAGCTCCAGAATTGGAAACTCATTTTGACATAATAGAAAGTTCAAGCTAAGTTTTTATAAAATTGCTGTAATAACAGTCTGGAAAAAAATAATAAGCTGGATCAAATTAGAAGATTAGGGAGCAGCGCAGTCTGCTACATTAACCGAAATGCCTTAGAATCAAGCAAGATAATTTTAGCCTAGCTTAATAGCGTCCGTGATACATTATTGGCTGTGTATAACAAGACTGGCGACGAAAGCCAAGTTGTTTCACTAAATTTTGTCTTGCTCCTATTGCATACCTAATTAAGCCTGACTTGTATTAGTTTAGTTATTTACTATACCTATGGTATTTCTTGCACATGCTTAAAACTAATTAGAGTCCTGAGTAAATAAACTTCCTCATATACTTAAGGCTTTATCTAGGGCTGATGCTAGATACCGCCTGGTGCAATCTCTACGGGTCCTAAATTCTGCTACAAAGCTTCTTCCTAAGTTCTAAATTTTCTCCGCGCCTAAACTTTGGATCCCAGTGCTTTCCCTAAATCATAAAAAACTTTCATCCCTTAATTTTGCTGCTCGGTGCTTCCCCAAATTCCAAAAATTTCGTCTTCCCTATATTCTGCCACTGCTTCTGGATTTGTGGTGAACAACATATCAGTTATTCTTAATTAAAGCAGAACTAAATATAATCTTTTGGCCTTTGAGTTTCATTAACAAAATCTATTTTTAGCATAAGAAAAGAAATTTTTGTTGAATTTTTCCTCGTCAACATTTCTTACAGCAGTGTTTCTCAACCGCTGATCCGCGGACGGGCACCAGCCTGCAAGAAATGTTTGCCGGTCCGCGAAATATCCAGCTATCTGTCTAAAAATTGTGCCAATGGGTTGAATTATTAAACTTACTGGTCCACGAGAACATACCGAAATATTTTACCAGTCCTTGGAGTAAATCCAGTAGAGAAACATTGTCTTAAGAGTATTTAAAAATCTATAATCATTGCCAAGCGTAATGTTAGCATAAAAGGTTGCCATACTCTTGTTATTCAATTCCTAATATAAAAAAAAAAGTTTAGACATTGGTGCATGAGTTATTACTGAATCTGTCATGTATTGATAAACATGCAGTGATGAAAGCAAAATATAATAAATAATGACTCGCCAGGTTGGCATCAGGGATATAAAATAGGCAAATGTTTTGGTTTGCCAAGCAGATACTTTGCTACGAAGCCAAATTATTAATCTCACGAATTTATGCTTGCATGATTGTTCTTCCATAATGAGGTGCATAAGTGAAATTAAGAATCAGAATTTTTAAGTGAAAATCTCCACGTTTTATTATGGAAGAAAAAATCAAATGTGCACGCGTAAAGCATACAAAAAAAAAAAAAAAAAATGTCTGCAGCTTTGGGGTCCGGATTTTAGATCATTCTGGATAATGGATGTCCGGATTTCGGACTTTGTAATGTACATCATAAAGGGGAAAACAATTGTGTGACTCAAGTATGAAAGGTTCATCTGATACATGCCCACAGTCAAAAAAAAAAAAAAAAAAAAAAGATAGTTTCTTTCAGTTCCAAATAAAACGAGCACTTATCTTCACCAAAAATAATTCATAATGAGTTCAGCTAGTAAGCCCATGAGCTGCACTAAAAATAATTACTTTTAATTCTTTGCTGGAACTGACACACAATAAAAGGTGTTGATCTATGAACATTTGATTAAACCTTTCTATCATACCGACTATGCATAGAAGAGATATGTTTGATTATTTTCTATGTAAATAAGTTTAGACCTTCGAAGTGTACTTATTTAGAATTGGTTAATTTTATGCAACAGATTTTTTTTTTCACTCTATGAAAATGACATTTACTGTAAACAAAAATACAAAACTTTGTGATAATTTTGTTTTCACCATGAAAATGCTTTCGTTAAAATCTTTCTAGTTAAAAGTTTTTCAGGAATGGTCACTCATCTATTTTATCACGATGAGCACTGCCAGAATGCATTAAGAGGCAATGATATTACACCCTCATGAAGGAGAGATAGACAACTAAAAACGTAAGACTTTATTATTTATATTTTTCCAATTTAACGAAATATTTTGGCAAAGAAAGAAATTCCCTTGTTTTTTCTTAAGTTTTTTTTATTATTAGAAATCCGATTTTGAATTATAAATATATAATTTATCAAATAATGCATACCAGGTTTTACTGATGTGACCGATTCTCCAACACTTTCAACAATACCTCCACCTTCATGGCCAAGTATACAAGGAAATAAACCCTCTGGGTCTAATCCATCCAATGTATATGCATCTGTATGGCAAACTCCAGTGGCTAAAATCTAGAACACAAATATTTAGTAAAGAATATGTATTAACAGATGCAGTTTTGATTAGAAATATTAACTACAGTATAATGCTCTTCCTTATAGCATTTTTCTTTGAATAAATAAGGTAAACATCGATAATTACTGAGTTAATAAAATATAAATAAAATAAAACTTAACAGGTGCATCCTCGTTTTGAACAAAATAATTAAGAAATATTTAAAATCCCTTATATCGATGCATGAAACTGGCATTTGTAATATTAGTTTATTTCATGATATTTGAAGAAAATAAATTACGAGATTATTCATACAGTCATTTTTTATAATTATTTGATTATTATCAACATCAAGAGAAAAATATAATATATATTTTTAATTTAAAATATTAATATATGTTTGGATTTCAATAAGCAATAAACATAATAAAAATTATAAATACATATTAATAATAAGATAAATTATTTGCAGCAATATATATTGATGACCAACTTATAAATATTATCTAAAAAAAAAAGTCATTAACACATACTAATAGCAGAAGTCTGAAGCTATATTGTTTTAAGAAATATTTCACAGAATACCTTTATTCGAACTTCTCCACTTTTAGGAGGTGCAACTTCAACTGTTTCTATCGATAAAGGTTTTTTTGGTCCCCACGCTACAGCAGCTTTGCACTTGATAACCTACAAAGAATTTAATCATGCATAATCATGAATCTGCATAATCATGTATATGCAGTCTTGGGAAACAAATAAGCACATGTAATATAAATATTAAAAAGTAAAGTTTAAATTCTACATTATTCAAACTCAGCTAAAGTATACTGACATCTTTTTTAGTTGCTCAATCATATCCGTCAACTATAAATAATTTCTTTTCATTTTCACAACCCTCAAACAAAAGATCACCTCTAAGATGGCCTGCATTCTGGGAGGATTACGGAAACATGCATCCAAATCCTAAATATAGCAAACTTTTGTATTAAATTGCAATATGTTATCATAACAACATTTTGTTTAGTAGTTAGTAAAATTTAGGTTGATATAAGATACTGATCATACGGTCAGCAAATTATGCAAAAAGCTAACAAAAAAATTTCTGTAAAAAAATGCATTTCCATCAGAAAGAGAAATTTTTATCGGTTGCGCCTATTTGATCAGAAAGACTTTTTAAGGGATTAGATGCCAAAAATAAAATTGCAATAAATAATATTTTATCTGACCACTGTTTAAACTATGTATTTTTTTTAATCCTCAGTATCATATTTAGATAGTAATAATTTACTCACTTTTCATTTGTTTTATTATTTCATTTAATTTTTATTTCCTTTATTATTTGCCTGTTTATCATTAATTGAACTTGATTTATTATTTTTATACAGTACAATGTCCACAATCTGAACTCGTCAGGACCTGGGCAATTCCGAATTTGGGATTTCTTCAGATATTAGATCATTAGTTTAAATCCAGTAAGATGGCATGTAGAAATTATAAAATTAAAAATATGAAATCGTGATTTATGAAATAATGAAGTATTTATGATCTAAAGGGTATCAACATTTACAAAAAAAAAAGCTTAATATTTATTTGTTTACCTTATTAAACATTTCTTTCAATGTAAGTTGTTTAAGTTGCTTCGTTTTTTGTGCTAATACTTTCTTTTTAATTCTGTAGACAGACATAATCTCTTGTTTAGTTACATTGTTGAAGTCCTGCAACTGCTGTTTCGACACTTTCTTCACTATCGGTAGCAGTATTTTCTGGATATAGAACCATACTACAAATTCTGCCATTCATTAATTGATTGATGATTGAGAAGCATTGTCATCACAATGAAAATCAAAATCAAAATAAATTTCTTTTATTACTGCTTCTCCACATTTCTTTACAAAATTCGTTAATTGGAAAATTTCACCTTTTCTGATATCCGAAAACCTTTAAAATTGAGGCTATCATCATGAAATTTAGCCATTCTTCACTATACATATTTGGCTATGCATCATGAACTTGGCGACTAATGACAAGTTGTTCTGTTAAATTTTATCTTGCTTCTATCGTGCACTACGACAATTAAGCTCGAATTGTATTAGTTTAGTTATTTATTATACTTATGTCTATTTCTTGCACATGCTTAAGGCTTATAAGAGTTCTGAATAAATAGATTTCCACATATACTTAAACCTTATTGATGGCCGGCACTAGATATCTTATCACCTGATGCAATCTCTGTGGATCCTAAATTCTAAATACGAGACCTGGTGCTGGTTCTGGGTTTATGTGAATAACAAAATCAGTTGTTCTTAATTCAAATAGCCCTAAATGCAATCTTTGGGTCTGTGAGTATCATCAACAAAATCTATTTTTAGCATATGGAAAGAAAATTTTGGTAAATTTTTCCTCGTCAACATTTTTTAGCTCATTTAACTTAAATCTGTAATCATTGCCCAGCGTAATGTCAGCATAAAAGGCTATCATATTTCTTTATTATTCAATTACTAGCATAAAAAAAATTGTTTAGGCATCGCTACATGAGTCATTAATCAAGTTGTCATATTTTAATAAACATGCGGTGATAAAAGGAAAGTGTAATGATTTGCAAGGTTGGCGTCAGATCAACGATGTATCTATGTGGAACATTTCAGTTTGAGATGTATGCCAAGCAGATACGCAGCAACGGAGCCAACTTACTGATCGTACAAATTTATGCTAAATTGATTGTTTCTTCATAAGGTATTTTATTTAGTGTCGAAGAGAAATTAAGAATAGGGACTCTCCAGATGTTTTATTATGCATGGACGAAGGGAATCAAATGCGCATGTGTAAAGCCGAGAAAACGTTGTTGGTGGTTTCGAGGTCTGCATTTTAGATCATTCCGGATAATGAACGTCCAGATTTCGAACTTTGTACTGTACATATTATTTGTTATTTATCATTTTATTTAAATTAATTTTGTTCTTTCTCCTAAGAACCTTCTATAGAGTTCAAGAGCTTTTCATTTTAGAAATTGAGTCCTGGGCAGCAATAGATTTTTTGCTTTCTTGAGTAATAACACTGAATTTACAAATTTTGTCATCCCTAAATTTTACTACTCAATACAACTATACCTGACCTTGATTAGGTGGTAGGGTTACAAAAATTCCAAAGAAATGAATATGCTTTAATTTTTTTAAAAACAGGTAAATACACACAAAAAAAGGAGACTTTAAACATATCTTCACGAATATTATGAATATACAATTATTCATCTAGGAAATTTCACAACATATTGCAGTAAAGTATATGGTGGGGGAAAAAGAAATCTGTGAAGAGCAAAGTTATCATATAAAGGTTTGGTTATTATTTTCTGACTAGTCAACAGCAATGACACTGGTTGTTTTGCTCTTTTACACTCCTAAAATGAGCTTTGAATTCTATATTTCACAATTCAGTTCAGCTTATTAATGTTCCATTGTACTATAACGATGAAATGAAAATTAACAAGTTTTATGAGCATCTTAATCATTTTAGATATTACTTGATTATGGGCTTTGAAAATATTTCACCATGAAATAATATGAAAGTGGACCTTGGTTATGTAGAAGAATGTACAGTGGCTCTCAAAAGCGTTCTTTTGCTTACGAGTTTCAGCGAAATATTTCTTTATTCATTAATAAAAAATTTTTAATAATATAATATCTATAAATTTCCCTTAGCAAAATTACATTAATTATTTTATGAACATATTAAATTTTTTTTTGGAAAATCAATAATAGAAAAGTAACAGAAAAATTACCTCACAAAAGTCTTCGTATACTTTAAAGAAATCGGCACATATTAGTAAATAACAGTATTTCTGTCAGCTAATATTCTGTAGTATATTCTGCAATATTTATGACAGCTTTCTGTCATATTTCCTACAGTATTTATAACAGTATGGGCATAGAGTTCACCAGTTTTTTGTAATATTGGCATCAATGTTCCTATATTCTTTCATCATGGCTGTTTTTAGTTCAGTTTTAGTTTTAATGTTGTATTTTCATACTCTACTCTTAATTTGCTCCAAATGTCTTCCATTGGATTTAAATCTGGTGACTGATCAGAATATGTGGACAATTATAGACACCTAAAAAGTGAAAATTAAGGGCCATGTGCTTAGCATCGTAACCCTAAAAAAAAATGAAGTTGTTCCCAGTACCCAAATTTTGGGTGAATAATTTTAAATTATCTATTAAAATATTTAAATAAAGAGCATGGTTCATTATGCCATCAAAAAAAATACTAAATTATTTAATCTTGATGCTGACATGCACTTTCACAGAAAAACACCTCCATGCTTTACTGTTTCCAGCCATGGTCTTGGGATTAAGTCGTCATTTTATTTTCTCCATAGAATTATATGCCCATTGGAGCTAAAAATGTTAAATTTGTTTTCATCTACAAATAAGATATCCAGTATGCTTCGGGCTTATTTACCATTGACTTTGAGAAGAAAAGCCTAAGCTTTCCATTTTTTTTGCATTTTCAAAAAATTTTCGGCTAATCTTTGGAATATGGTAACAGGTAATTTGGCGACATTTTCGTAAGGCGATAAAGGTTACTAGCTAGGACTTTAGCAGTGTACATGGATAAAGTCAAGAGTGTGTGCAATGCCATTTTTGTGCAATTCTGGGATGTTATTTTAAGTGAAAATACGTCGACGTGTACATGGATACCGTGTATGTGCAATTCTTAAAAACGCAGCAAGCAGTTTGCGATTCTGCACTTTCTCCCAATTTCGCATCCAATCTTCATCATGATTAAGCACTTTTGTTCCATAAAAGTTCTAGCATAAGCGTAATTTGGCTAGCAGATTGTTGGAAAAAATGTTGAGGGGAAAAAAAAAAAAATGCCTTTACTTCGTGAAAACAAAATGGTGTCAAAAAAAAATCTAACAGGTTGCTGTAGCAGGGTTGGTCACCAAATTTTCGCAAAGTTACCATAATCCAAAGATTAACCAAATTTTCTCAGCAGAGTGCTCATGTACTCCAGCTGATCCGAGTACTCGTTGAACAGTTTTTAAATGAAATTAAAGTGGAAATTTTTCAGCAAATTCTGTAGAAATCTTTACAACACTCAAACGTTGATTTTTCACAGATTTGCTAATTATAAATCTCTGATCACAATGAGTCACATCAAGTCCTCTTTGCCGGACAACCTCTTCTTACTTTATTTTGGATTCCATTTTCTTCTTTAAAGCATTTTATCACATACTGCACTGTACAATAGGAAAAATTTATTAATTTAGAGATATCCTGAAATTTTCAGTATAAAATTCTTATGATAAAAATTATCAATTTTCCAATGCTTTTCCTTGTTTACTTACGATTACGAACCATTTTTAAACATTAAATAAAACATAACAAAGTAAGCAAGCAAAAAATAAAGTCAAACGATTTTTTTTAAAACACCAAAACAGAAAATAAAAAAAGTGGTATGTGATAATTAATTTTAAGAAAATGTTTCTGTGTACAGTCACTTTTGTGGCATGTTTTATTCATGCCTCCTTACATTTTCAATTTTAGAAAAAAGAAAATAAATCAGTATTAAAAATAAAAAATACTGGTTTAATTCAAAATCACATAGAGATGATATGAACAAATATTGCGCTTTATATCTGAATTCCAGGTTACAGTACTCTTTTTGCAATTCTTAAAGTGTACAAATACATTATGCATTCGCACACTGTATGTATGCACAAATAGAAAAGTAAACTGCATAAATACAAAGAATATTATTGAAATTAACAAGTCATTTGAAATAAATAATATAATAATATCAGTCTTCATGTATGCTTTTTAATGAGCATTAATTTTTTATAATGAATGATTTTGGTAATGGAACTACTAATGATATGATTCTGATGTTAAATATCTGAATATTTAATTAAGTCTAACTTTATGGTCTCTGAATAATTTCATTTTAGAGTTTTCCTTTTCCACTCTAATAAAAAAATCCTCTGTGTGGGATGGCTTTTATAAGCAGCATAAAGGTATTGTTAAATATTTAAAAAAAAAAAAAAAAATCAAAATCAAAAAATCAAAACAAAACAAAAATTGAAAGGATTCAGATTTATACAAATGCCCAAAAGGGTTCTTTTAAAGTTTAATACGGTTTGTCAGTAGAGATAGCTCAAGTTGAATGGTAAAACCTTTTACAGGCTACTACATGAATATGTACTTAGACTAACATGAGAACGTTATATATCTTTCACATATTTAAAAAGTGAAACTATATGCAAACTAATTCTGCAAAAATAAATGTATTTATCATGAACTAAATGATTTTTTATTATTTCAATTAGATAAAAAAGTAACAAAAATAATATTCTTAAGAACTGCATATGCTGATTTTAAGTAGCTTAGTTTGTTAAATAATAACAAAGATTAAATATGAAAGAATAATATTTTATATTTTTCTGAATCACATACTATTCTGCAGATAAATTCAGTAATGAATCAAATATAGATGTAAAATATGTACATTAACTGATTAAACTTTGCTTGAATCTGCAAAAAGTTCTACAAATGTCTACAGCAGATCAAGACAATTCAGATCAAACAAAATTTAATAAGAAAAATTGTGCTGAAAATTACTAGGAATGGGCAAAAGCAATTTCCACAATTTTTTTGTTCATTGAAAGCAAGTAAATCACATTTATTGTTACAGAATCTTTTTCTTAGTAAAAGCTGAAAATTAAGAATCGGGAGATGTGATTTGGAAAAAAAACGAAAGGCCACCACTTGTCTGTTATGCAGTGAGATTTATTTACTACTTAAACTATATAATTATTCAGTACTATTCGGTTTTGAGGGCCGTAAAAAATCGCCAAACTATTGTTGATGCCAGTGCTGCCAAAATAATAACAGCAACCCTAACGCAAGAAAGGAAGTATAATAGTAAATAACTAAGATTGATGTTTTAATTTAGATGAAAGGTTAATTTCATATACTTTTTTACTATTACAATTTATATAAAAAAGGCTAAACATGACTGAATGGAAGCATAAGAGTGAATAACTATTTCAGATCATTATTATAATTTATATAAAAATTGCTAAACATAACTAAATGGATGCCTGCATTGCAGTTTTGCTACCGAGTTATCGCTAAAGCATAGTTTCATCTTGTTGGTTGTTCAAACACAATTTTCTATAATGAATGACACCTTTTCTTTGAAACAATTTTCGGCAAAGTGCAGAATCGCCCACTTTTTTGTTTGCCGCTTTTTACAAGGTAAAAACAATTGGATTTTTGTCAATTTTCTTTTATTTTTAAATGAAAATAGGTCGATGTGTACATAGATAAAGTCAAGGGTGTGCGCAGTGCCATTTTTGTGCAATTATGGGAATTTTTTTTAAGTGAAAATAGGCCGATGTGTACATGGATACCGAGTATGTGCAATTCTTAAAAACGTGTCAAGCAGTGGGTGATTCTGCACTTTACCCAAAATTCTATTGCCCACTTTTCGTCATGGGCAATTCCCAAATTGTTAAATCCATAGGATATCAAAAAAATTTTAAATCAAAAAAGGATTTAAAAATTAAAAAAAGATTTAAAAATTAAACTAGTATTTCAATGACGTCTTAAGAAATATAGAACTACATAAACTTACACAATCTGAAATCAGCACGTATGCTAGATTTGGCTCGCTGTTAAATGGGCGCGTTTGCTAGATTTGGTGCTTTTGCGCATACTGTTTTACTGCAGTTTTTTACTGTCCTCAAAACAGAATACTACCAATTATTCTATATATGGTCAACCTTTCAAATTGTGATTTGTCCAAGTACCCATTTATAAAATTCCACCAAATTTTAATACAAAAATATATATAAAAAAGTCGTCTTATTTTCTAGCAAATACGATTCATACACCTCACATCTTTTCTATTTGTACTGATAATAAATAAATAAAAAGGTTCTAAACAGTACATAATTCTTAAATATATTTAATTCAAATAAAATTATACTTTTTAAAAGAGAATAATATATGAAACATGTTTCATAAAAGACATAGGAATGTAAAATTTTTGTTTCCCATTTAACGTCCTCTTTTACATTACCTACTGATGTTTCAACTAAGTTATAAATATTCCTTCAAAAAATTAATTAAAATACCCAAGACTCTTCATATGATTAAAATAAATAAAACGGACGACGTTTCCTCATATCATCGCCATTATTTGCTTAATATACATGTAGATTCGGTAACGCCTAGTTTAAAATATTATAAGGAATGTGAATAAAAGAAACATGAAGTAATGATTTATTAAAACTCAAAATAAGTATGAGATATTTTAATAGGCAATGAATACCTTTCCTTCAGTTGCAGCCATGTTAATGAAAATTTAGTAAAAATAAAAAAAGGTACAAAAATTTTTATCTGATACTGAAGTTTAAATTCCGGAAGAAATAGGAAGCAAAGTTGAGGAGCAAACAAATATCTTGCTTTGCATTATTTAAGTCTTTCTGCCCGCAGATCGAAAAATTAAATTTTTATACGGAAGAACTGCGGTCACATTAATAACAGACTTGTTCCTTGCCTTCCCCCTGTCTGAAATTTCGCCATAGATTGCGCCAAAGGAGTTTCATTTTCCCGCCAGAAAATACGGAGGTTCGATTTTGAAAAAGGCTATCTGTGAAATCTTCCAGGGGTAATTGAAGATTATCTCAACACATTTTATTGAAAAAGGCAGTACGTTTACTTAATTTCTTCTGTTTATGGTAAATTTATGCATTTTCCTTTCAATTTCTTTTTATTGATGTTCGCAATTGTTTTCGACCTAAGGTTGATAAAGAATAAATCTGTACACCGTTTTTCGTCAACAATTGTAGCTGTTTTCTGATAGTTGTAAATCTAGGTAGATGAATTTTGTTTTATGTAAGCTCATTTAATTTTTAAATACACACTTTATTGTGTCAATATATATGTTGATGTATGCTTATTGAGTATGTATGCTTGGGTCTTTTGATGTATGTTCAGTGATTATGAACCTAAATGGGGTTAATTTAGATAAATTTCAGATGTTTAATATTTTAATTTAAGGATGTGTTTGATAAAATTTATGAATGAGGATTACATCTGCAAATTTTTGGATTTAAGTTGCATTTAGAACAGTAGTTACTTTATTTATAATCAAACTATTTATTTTTTATATATGAAAAATTGTCTTAATTTTTTATATTAGAAGTATTAAAATTGTGAAATTGTACATTTTGGGATAAATTTATCCATTAAAAATATATATCTGATTTTGAATTCATTGGCCCTCTAAAGAATTAAGTGTACAAATAATTTACTATTAGATTTAAAGTCCATGCACTATATATATTAAAATATATTTTTTATCTTTGTTGCTTTTTTTTATTACTTTAATGGGCACGTTATGAAAATAGTGTATAGGGAGATTAAATATGAAATACCTTATTAATATTTTTAGAAATTTTATGCATTACATCTATAGGTATCTTTAATTATTACTTATCTGCTCCTATCAGTTATTTACATACTTCCTTTTTCACCCTTTATATTTTAGGTCTGAACAACTATATGCAAGTTTTATGTAAAAACAGAATCGGATCTAGAAAAGCATTTAAGAAGTACTCGTTTTGTAAAACAGTTCATATATCCTTGACCTCAGCTGGAACAACTGAAGTTTAAATATGACTTTCAAGAGATTAATAAAATGTGCCTCTGATCTCAATACCTCACCAAGTGACTGCTTCTCTTCAGCATATATACAAGACTATTCTTCAGAACGCGTTGCCAGTTTTCATTTGTCATGATAATTAGTATCTAATTATATTATTGTATATATTACATCATCTGTAATATTTCATTAATAAATTATTCCAAAAGTGAATATTTGAACTGCTTAATTCATATATGCACCTCATTTAATATACTGTAAAATTTTCTCTGTGTTCACAGTACTTTCAGAAACTTAGACAAATATTATAAATTTAATTTTATCAGTACCCTAGAAATATTGAAAAAACTGAATATATGAAATGTGCATGAGATTCTAGTCTTGATTTCTTCATTTACTACCATACATAACTTATCACAAAAGCTTAATATGTAGTATTAATAAAAAAATATGTACAGTATTTTTATCACTTAAGACTATTCTGTAGCTTATTGAATCAATTGCTTGGACTAGTAATTTATTTTGATGGCTTCTTGCAGTAGTTTGAGGTGAAAAAGTTTACTTTACTATTTATCACAATTATTGCTATTTCCTCAAAAAAATAATTCATTTTCAAGTAAGATAAGGCTGTACCTTATTCATACAGGTTGAAGCAAGACTGGCACCTTTGCATTCAAGTAGGTATTATGGGGCCTTGCTGATTGCTAAACTCCACTCTAAATGGAATTCCGATGGTCTCCTGCCCCTCATCCCCTACCACCAACTTCTTGAGATGATTTTAGCTTGCTTTGTGTGTTTAGTGATCCCTTACCACACAGACACTATGCTTACAATCATCCATGCCTTCTCCAGGATTCGAACCTGGGCCCTTTGGTAACGGCAGTCAGCATCACTAACTACTAGCCTGTTTGGTCAGCACCTTATTGACACAAGTACAGGTTGAAGCAAGGCTGGCATTCAAGTAATCATATTAAGTATTGCTGAGCCTTGCCAACTGTCAAGTTTCCATCCCGAATTAAGTTCTGAAGGAAATCATCCCAGGTTGCAGTACGAGCCAGCCTCTCAAGACCAGTTCACCATGTACTTTGAGTGCATCCTTGCTATGTAGGGGCACTCAAGATGAATACAAACATTCATGCCTTTTCAGGGATTTGAAATTGGGCCCTTTGGTACGACAATCAGCATCATTAACCACTATCGCATCTGGGCAGCATGTTATTGACACAGTGAGATAACCATCTACCTGAATGATGGTTTATTACATTGTTGGATTGGTCAACATTACTTAGCACTATTTAAAGATCGCCACAGAGTTCTCCCAGCATAATGCCCAATGATTTTTTTTTTTTTTTTTTTTTTTCTTTTGTGAATTATGTAAAAGATAATGTTTATATTCCCTACTGTCAGTTATAACTGCTGTAGTTACCATCAGCTAAGAAATATTACAGTATGTGTGAGCTGAGTCAGAGTATTGCTTGAATATGTATCATGAAATAAGAGGAATGCACATAAAGCATTTAAAATCTCATCTCATCACTAATATTTGAAAGACATTTACTTCACTGCAAACGTTCTATGAATTATAGAATTTAGAAACCAAATAAATCATGTAAAATAAGGCTGTATTACACACAAATAACTTCTATTTTATTTATTTTTTACAGATATAATTTATTGACTATCTTATAAACATTGTCTTGAATTTGATGTTAAATAAAAATACAGAGGGTATTGACATATTTTTAAGATTATTTTTGAACCATTTTATTAACGTTTGAAATGTAAATATATATATTATCGAAATGTACAATCTGATCACCTTTCTTTGTGGACTTTATGCTTTCCGTAACAGAAGGAATTTTTGCAAAACGATTTAATATTATTGCTTTCTATTTCTCCTTAATTACTTTTCAATCAGCTGTAACCCATTAATATGAATATTTGTATTTAATACATGGTAAAATTAGATTTACTTATATTATGGAAGCCTTTTTTTTTTTTTTTTTTTTTGTATGATTTATCACCACCAGATATTTTAATTCATATTCCTAATTTATATATATTCAGGGTTGCAAAAGCATTTTCTTGAAGTAAGTAGGATCACCAAGTTCAGAGATCTTGTCTTAGAGTATAAAAAATGTAATAAATTTTTTACATTTTATTTGCCTAAAATTTTCCAGAACGTAAATATTTAAAACAAGAGCGTGAAGTACGACTTCAGTTTTTGTGAAAACCATATGCTATCCAGACTAGAGGGTATTTCCTCATTCTTATTTATTATATGTACATAATATGTGTGTATCTTCTGTACATTTACACCAAAATTAGTAAATTCATTGTTATGGAAATCTCATTAGTGCATGTAATGTCTAAGTAAACACTTACTAGATTCATATTTACTAATGCGATGGTATACCATTTAAGTCACCAAATTTTTAAAAATCTAATTTGGATACCACATGACTTCTTTCTATGGTGTATTAAATTATATATTTTTTTTGCTGCAACAATAAACTGATGCTAAATATTGTTAGATATTTACAACAATAAACTGATATTAAATATTATTGGATATTTACAACAGTAAACTGACATTAAATATTGTTAGACTAACTACATAGACATTATTAAGATTTCATTAGTTGACAAATATTAATTTTTTAAAATTTAATACTGCTAAGACATAATAATTTTTATTTAAAACACTTCTGTGGTTAGAAGTACATGACTACGACCAATGATTGCAAAAAATAAAGGCTGGGGAAGTACTTTTAAGCCAGGTAAACAGGCATGTGTATATATATATATACACACACATTCAGTTTTGCTGATTGCAATAGAAGCAAGGAACACAACTGTATGTATAGCAGTCCTATATACAGTCAAAAGTCGTTAATCCGGACTCGTTGGGACTTCGGCAATTCCGGATTATAGATCATCAGTTTAAATCTGGTAAGATGGCATGCAGAAATTATAAAATTAAAAATATTAAACCATAATTTATGAAATAAAGAACAATTATGATCTAAAGGGTATCAAAAATTTACAAAAAAAAAAAAAAAAAAAAAAAGCTTAATATTTATTTGTTTACTTTATTAAACATTTCTTTCAATGTAAGTTGTTTAAGTTGCTTCGTTTTATGTGATAATACTTTCTCTTTAATTCTATAAACAGACATAATTTCTTCTTCAGTTGCAAAGTTCCGCTGTTAAAGTCCTATAATTGCTGTGTCGAGAATACCGACTAATTTGTCAATCGAAATTTTTTTCGTTTCCAATAACCTCTGTATCACTTTCTTCTTTATCGGAAGCGAATTATAATGACGAGGAATTTGATTTATATCATATCATATCAAAGACGGAGTACATCGAGATGAAATACTACATTTAGTAAGGAATTATAAGCCAAATAAAATAAAAACATCTGCCCTGAAGATAAAGATAGTGCTGACAGATCAACTTCCAATTCATTGCGTGCCGCGCGTTAAAGATAAACAATGTTAAAGTTTAGATAAACAAAGGATATGCCTATATCCATTTTTTGTAGCAATTCCACTTTTTGTTTAATGAACTTCGAAACATACTTTCGCTTTGTAGATCCTTTATATATTAGTAAATATATATCGGAAATTCTATTTGACGTAATCGAAAGTTCAAGCTTACTTTTATAAAATTGCTCTAACAGTCTGCAAAAAATAATAAGGCGTATCCAATTCAAAGATTCAGGAACAATGCAATCTGCAACATTAACTGAATTAGATAATTTTAGCTTAGCTTATACCGTCAGTTATACATTCAATGGGCAAGCGTAAACGTATTGC